GCAGCTACTATGTAGCAGGCAACACAAAAATCATTTACAGGGCAAAACGCGCATGTTATTCAAGGGCCATAACTCAGCCTTAATCATTCAACCTGAAAACCTGTGTAAAATGTGCAAGCACTTGAGCAACTGCTCAATCCTGTAAAGTTTCATTGAAATTGCGTTAGTTAGAGGTGTAGTCAGGACAAATTTTAAAAATAACAAGAGCTGTCGGTAGGACAGCATGCTCGACTATTCTAAGTGCTTGATAGTAAAAGAGCCTTGATAATGTTAATTTTTTTAAGTTCACTAAAGAGCCATTTTTTTTTTATAAATTCATGTTATAGGCCTTAGAGAGAGTCTAATTATACAGTATTGGCTTGACTATTTGGAAGGTAATGTCACAAGGGTGTTTTATTGAGTATAATAATACTAATAACCTATGAATACATAAATTTGACAGAAAAGGTACAAAGGCTTGTTATTAAGATGTTTTATCAAGTAAATTACTGCTTTATTATTATGAATGCATAAAATTGTCCCAAAAAAGGCACAAACCCTTCAGTAGTTATTGAGATAACAGCTTACAAGCAAAACTTTACCATGAATTTCTAAGTTGAAAAAGGGGAGAAAAATCAGCCTAAATGCAAGATAGAATTATGGATCTTTGTCAAGGACTTACAATTATGACCCTGAATGCATATGTGAAGTTTTAAATAAATATCTTTAATAGTTATTGAGATATGTAAAACTTGCATGCAAACATTAACCAAGAGACTAAGTAGAAAAGGGAATATGAATCAGCCTTAATGCAAGATAGAGTTATGGAACTTGGTCAGTGACATACAATTATGACCATCCAATTATGACCCTAAGTGCATGTGTGAAGTTTCAAGTAAATATCTTTGAAGACCTTTAACCTTTAACCAAAATTTCTAACTTTCAAAGGGGCAAATAATTCTGCAAATATTGCAGGCAGAGTTATGCATTTTTGCAAACTGATGTACATTGTTACTATAAAAAAGTATTTTAAATTTCAATTGAATTTCTCAAGCAACAATTGAGATATTTGACTTTATAAAAAAACTTTAACCAAAATTTCTAAGTTCCAAAGGTTAAATTATTCTGTCAATATTGTAGGCAGAGTTATCCAACTTGTCAATCTGATGTACCTTGTTACTATAAATAAGTATTGTAAGTTTCAATTGAATATCTCAAGCAATAATTGAGATATTTGACTTTACAAAAAACTTTAACCAAAATTTCTAAGTTAAAAAGGGGCATAATTCTGTCAAAATTGTAAGCAGAGTTATCCAACTTGTCAATCTGATGTACCTTGTTACTATAAATAAGTATTGTAAGTTTCAATTGAATATCTCAAGTAATAATTGAGATATTTGACTTTACAAAAAACTTTAACCAACGCAGACGCCGACGCTGACGCCGGGGCGACTACAATAGCTCTCATATTCTTCGAATAGTCAAGCTAAAAATCACTAAAGGGCCATTACTCTGACAAAAAACATTCAACCAGAAAAGGCCTACCATATGCACAACTAGACATGGTACTGATTCCTGTAAAGTTTCTTTGAAATTGCACTAGTAGTTTTTGAGAAGTAGTCCGGACAAGTTTTGTGACGGAGAGACATACTTATGAAATGATACTTATGTGACTTTTCTTTTGATCTTTTTAGTCACACAAGCCCTATAAAACACACACACACACGTAAAATGGAATGAATAGGATCAAAGAAACTGTACCGTTACCTACTGTTCTAGTCAAACAAGTACCTTTGTGTTTGTACAGACAGACAGATGACAGAGAAGTGATCCCTACATGTCGCCACTACTCTGTAGAGGCGACACAAAAATGGTTTATGACCTATAAAATGTCTAAATAAGGAGTCTAACCTTTACATCCCTTATATTGTATAATGGACTTGTCATGTCTTGAATCCTAGGACTGTCCATTGTGAATATAGGGGATTTTGATATAAAAATAATGAATCTGCGTAAATTAAAGTATAAGTGCCTGGTCAAACTTCGCAAAGTGTGCAATCTGGTATGACCCTATTCCAGTCTGGTATGATCCTATACCAGTCTGGTATGACCCTATACGGATGAAATTAAGTAATTCAAACAATTATTGCTGATTTAACAATGAGGATTAAAACAAAAACTGAATAATTACATGTCTAAGAATGAGAATGAGAAGTTCAATAATAATACAAAAATAGTTGTTAATATATGAGCACAAAAACATTAATTACATTCACTATAATGGCACAAAATATAAAACATGAAATATCAACAAAATATACATGTATCAGAGAAAAAATAATGAAAATAATTCTTATTGATAATGATAAATTCAACACATAAACAAGTTCTCAGCTCAACTTGAAAAATGGACTGGTCCATTATTAAATTTAGAATAATCCATTACATGAATTAGAGATGAAAGGATTAAAATAACATACAAACTAGAAATGTGTCATCATGCCACGGATGCCCCCGCATGCAGCCAAAATTTCAGATGGTGCTTTAATTATTTTTTTCATTTTAAGTTCAAAGCCCTTAAAACTTTTCAATGTTAACACAAACCATTTTCATACAATGTTCAAGGCACTGAAATTATTCAGTCTAAACCTTTTAAAAATAGTATATTGCATATTTGTAGCCAAAATAATAAGTGCTGAAAGTGAAAGTTCAAAAATTTCCAACATTCAGGAAAGATAAGTTTGTCTTAAATCATTGAACTACAACCAAATTCAAACTTAAACTGCTTATTCCTAAGATGTATCTATATTATTTTCAAAGTGAAAGGGACATAACTCTGCCAAAAAATCATCAAACCATGACCAAATTCCAACTTGACCTGCCCATTCCTTTGACATATCCATATGTCAAATTTAAGTTGCATATGTAACACTGTTGGGTAGATAATGAACAGAAACTGTAAATTTCATATTATTTTCAAAGTGAAAGGGGCATTACTCTGCCAAAAATCATTGAACCATGACCAAACTCAAACTTGGCCTGGGCATTCCAAAAACATATCCATATGTCAAATTTTAGTTGAATGTGTTGTACCATTGGGGAGATAATAAACGGAAACTGAAAATTTCATATTACTTTCAAAGTGAAAGGGGCATAACTCTGCCAAAAATCATTGAACCATGACCAAATTTGAACTTGACCTGCGCATTCCTTCGACGCACCCGTATGTCAAGTTTGAGTTGAATGTGTTGTACTTTTGGGGAGATAATGAACGGAAACTGAAAATTTCATATTATTTTCAAAGTAAAAGGGGCATAACTCTGCCAAAAATCATCAAACCAAGACCAAATTCGAACTTGACCTGTATTTTCTCATGACATATCCATATGTCAAGTTTGAGTTGAATGTGTTGTACCATTTGGGAGATAATGAACGGAAACTGAAATTTCATATTATTTTCAAAGTAAAAGGGGCATAACTCTGCCAAAAATCATCGAACCATGACCAACTTCGAACTTGACCTGTATTTTCTCATGACATATCCATATGTCAAATTTGAGTTGAATGTGTGCAACCGTTCTTAAGATATTGAACGGAAACTGATGATGATGGAATGACAGAATGACGGAAGGACGGAAGGACGGAATGACGGAACAGGGTAACACTATATGCCCCGGCCATTACATGGCGGGGGCATAATAAAAATGTATAAAAATAATGAAAAAAATAAAAATAAATAAAAAGATCTTGTGAAGGCATGGCCTCGGTGATTTTAATTTGTTTGATATTGCTGTTATGTAAAAATGAAAAAATAAAACATTAATCATAACAAACATAAATGTGCTTTCCCCTCCCTTAACCCATTTAAAACTAGTGAATACTGGACATATTCTGCATTAGAAATGGAATCATCAATTATCATTGGGGGGAGATTTTTCAGGAATTAAAGGCCCATTATGCCTTAGAAATGCTATCAAATTTTTTTTCTAAAAAATATCTTAATTTTTGGTATCTTGTTACAATTTCCAAAAAATATACTCTTTTTCCCTTTACATGAACTATCCTTTGATGTTTTTGTTCGGTCAACAATTGCTATAATTATTGTGAATTAGTATTTTGTATGGAAGTCAAAATACTATTTTGTTTACATTTTGCTACCTTTACAACACATTTCTGCATGTCCAGTGCTACTTTTTTTGGAAATTAATCATGTGACATGCTCTAATTTCATTATTAAAACATTATTAGACAAACGTTTGAAATTTTTAAAGAATTAAGAAATATGTCAGATTAAGGAAATTCATTATTATCCAATGTCAAATTTAGGGAATTCATTATCATCCAATGTCAAATTTAGGAAATTCATTATCATCCAATGTCAATTTTAGGAAATTCATTATCAAACAAAATTTTCAGTCAATCAAAATATTTAGATTAAGCAAGTAACCAGAATATATAGTCTTTTATAACAGAATGAATTGTTGAAAGAATAATTTTGTTTGACAGTAGCAGGGGTTAAACAAGACATCAGTCACACAAACTGATACAAATGTTCATGTTTACTTGAACAGTAATAATCTGATTTGGCCCCAAGTAACTAACAACTTCACAAACGAGAGCTGTTGGTAGGACAGCATGCTTGACTATTCTCAGTGCTTGAAAGTAAAACAAGACTTTTTATGCTCGCAAATAAGTAAGTGAAGTTTCAATCAATTCACTTCAGTAATTTTGGAGATAAAAACTTGCACGCAAAAACTTATACAAAGTGTGACTGCAGCTCCGACTCCGACCAACCCTATCACTGTATGCTGCCACTTTTTAGTCGGAGCCTTTAATAAATTCTAAATATAAAATCAAATCAACATATAGTCTATATATACAATGTATTTTCTAAGTAATATAACAAAATCTACAAGATACTTAACAAAACATTTCATTGTCTTACATCTTTTAAATTTTTCAGAGCATTTTCTATAATGTAAATGAAAATTTTATTAAATAATTTTTGCAAAAAAATGTATAAATAGTCAAATTTCAAATGGATATGATAAGAGGCATTTACATTTAGGAGTATGTTCACGTCACAAATTAGAATAAACTTCTATAATTAAAAGTAAACTATTAAAACTTACTAACCTTTTTACATGTTTTCTTTGTATCACAATTTCATTGAAAACTTTATATATAAAAAACGTATATTAAAAACAACTGCTTAAATGTACCAACTTAAACAATACAAAACTTTAAACAATTACAGCATGACTGTCCTTGAACCCTTAACCTGCGGGAATTATATTATCTTCTGCCACCATGCCATCCATATGGAGTCTGACTCTGCTTTATACTGTTGGCAGACAAACTTGCATTTTTTTATCTTGATATCCCCAAAATATATAATGAACTGTTCCTAAAATAATAGCTGGACAAGTCCATTTAAGAAATTCAGCAGGTTAAGGGTTACAAATGTTTCCGATCATTATGAAACCCCCGCCCCGGCGACACCTTCCTTTGCCGCTGCGACCTTATATTCACTCAATTTCTGAGGTATACACTCGATTATTTTTTGTATTTTTTCATTGTTCTGGTACTTTTCTATGTTTGCTGGATCATCGTTCACTTCTTGGAATGCTTTAATTACATCTTTGTCCTATAAAGATGGAAATCATAAAATAAGCATGTCATTGTCCTATAAAGATGGAAGTCCTAAAATAAGCATGTCATTGTCCCATAAAGATGGAAGTCCTAAAATAAACATGTCATTGTTCTATAAAGATGGAAGTCCTAAAATAAGCATGTCATTGTCCTATAAAGATGGAAGTCCTAAAATAAGCATGTCATTGTCCCATAAAGATGGAAGTCCTAAAATAAACATGTCATTGTCCTATAAAGATGGAAGTCCTAAAATAAGCATGTCATTGTTCTATAAAGATGGAAGTCCTAAAATAAGCATGTCATTGTCCTATAAAGATGGAAGTCCTAAAATAAGCATGTCATTGTCCTATAAAGATGGAAGTCCTAAAATAAGCATGTCATTGTCCTATAAAGATGGAAGTCCTAAAATAAGCATGTCATTGTCCTATAAAGATGGAAGTCCTAAAATAAGCATGTCATTGTCCCATAAAGATGGAAGTCCTAAAAATAAGCATGTCATTGTCCATAAAGATGGAAGTCCTAAAATAAGCATGTCATTGTTCTATAAAGATGGAAGTCCTAAAATAAGCATGTCATTGTCCTATAAAGATGGAAGTCCTAAAATAAGCATGTCATTGTCCTATAAAGATGGAAGTCCTAAAATAAGCATGTCATTGTCCCATAAAGATGGAAGTCCTAAAATAAGCATGTCATTGTCCTATAAAGATGGAAGTCCTAAAATAAGCATGTCATTGTCCTATAAAGATGGAAGTCCTAAAATAAGCATGTCATTGTCCCATAAAGATGGAAGTCCTAAAATAAGCATGTCATTGTCCCATAAAGATGGAAGTCCTAAAATAAGCATGTCATTGTTCTATAAAGATGGAAGTCCTAAAATAAGCATGTCATTGTCCTATAAAGATGGAAGTCCTAAAATAAGCATGTCATTGTCCTATAAAGATGGAAGTCCTAAAATAAGCATGTCATTGTCCCATAAAGATGGAAGTCCTAAAAATAAGCATGTGATTGTCCTATAAAGATGGAAGTCCTAAAATAAGCATGTCATTGTCCTATAAAGATGGAAGTCCTAAAATAAGCATGTGATTGTCCTATAAAGATGGAAGTCCTAAAATAAGCATGTCATTGTTCTATAAAGATGGAAGTCCTAAAATAAGCATGTCATTGTCCTATAAAGATGGAAGTCCTAAAATAAGCATGTCATTGTCCTATAAAGATGGAAGTCCTAAAATAAGCATGTCATTGTCCTATAAAGATGGAAATCCTAAAATAAGCATGTCATAGGATCGTTTAATACATTTTATCACACACCTGTGCTGCTTTTGTGACTACATTAAAACAGCGCATATACTTTGACCTCATCTGTGTTATACAAACATAGGGTAAAGATGCCCTTAATGTTAGCATTACTCTATTACATAGGGTTGTACATGAAAATTCTCTTTAAACAGTTCTTACTCCAGGTATGCAATACATGTATTAGTGTAGATTTAATACTAAAATATTTATATGAACTCATTTCTCAATAAACAATATTACTTTGAAAAGGCTTACATAATGTGATTTTTTTTCAATTTGTTCCATAAACTTAATATTGAACCCATCAAAATACACTCTATATATTCTGTATTGTAAGGAATACAGTGTGTGTACTGGCTCCTAGGAATTCAAGGAGACAACTTTTGGGAGTAGAACAGTAATTATCTTAGCAAGAGTTGTCTATCTTTATTTCTTCAGAATATTTGTTGAAGTTTTACTACTCAAACATCTTGGATATATATTTTTTGGTGCTCAAAATAGGGAATGGAAGTCCATAAAAATATGTCAATACAAGTTGAGTTTGAAAGTCCGCTGTCACAATCATTATCGTTTTCTTGAAACTTTTAAATATACAATGTATCAGGAGTTTAACATTACCTTGAAAATTTTAAGGATTTCTGGGTCTTTTAGAAAGCTGTCGATATCTGGATTAGCTACATCTTCTCCTGATGCCGCTTCTAAAATACAAACAAAAATTGATCTCATACCGTTCTTAGTCATTCCAAAATTTTGACTGCATGGCCGAGTGGTTAACACGTTGGATTGGTAATCTAAGGATTTCTAGCTGTGTAGGTTCACAACATCATCAGGGACAAACTGTTACAAGTGGTTCATGGTTTCAAGCGGTATATTATTTTAAGTCTTATATCTTTTTTAAAAATATGACCTTTTTTTTCATTTTTTTTCTCTGTATAGTGGTACATTATTTCAGTGGTATATTGTTGTTTTTAATGGTATATTGTTTAACATAGCAAATTGTTGTATTAAATGGTATATTGATATTGTTGGTTTAAGTGGTATGTTGTTGTTTTAAATAGCATGTTGCTGTTTAAAGTGGTTTAATGTTGTTGCTTGTTTTAAGTGGTATTAAGATTTATTAAGATTTCAATTTCCTGTGTTTCAACTGTAATTTAAATGAATTTGGTAAATTGATTTTCTTTGCAAATAAATGAAAAGAATACAGACCTAACAACCTGGCAGCATCTGGATATTCTTTCAGAAAATCAGTGTCTTTTTCTGTACCATCCTATAATACAAAATTAACACCAACTCATTAATATCATAAAGCTGGGACTTAAAATGACCTTGCGTTTCAGCATGAAGCTATATATTGTTGAGGTTATATGGAGAATTGCAAGCAATACCATAAGAGGAATACCCCTTCTATCATAGAAAACTTCTGACACCTGACAAGAACTACTGACCTTCCAAGAGCAAGAAGTTGTTTAACAGCTTGAATATATATGTATGTTAAACTAATATTTATAGTCAAAAAAAGAAAAACACTGTCAAATAAGTGAAAAGAAACTTCATAGCTTTTAACCACAATATAAGTAGGGTACATGAAAATGGTTTCAAATATCCTCAGAGATTTACATCCATTAAGAAGGTAAACCAAAATGGTGTCAAAAAGCCTCTTAGTTAAACCACCATGTAAGTAGGTTATCTGAAATTTTGTCAAGATACCTAATTGATAAACCAACAATTAAGTAGATCACATGAAAAGGACACCAAGGAACCTAATATACTAACTACCATGTAGGTATACCTAAAATGGTGTCAAGAATCCACAGAGCCTAACATTCTGTATGTGTCAAGAATCCACAGAGCCTAACATTCTGTAAGTTATCTGAAAATGGTGTCAAAATACCTAATAGTTTAACCACCATATTAGTAGGTCAAATGAAATTGGTGCCATAAAACCTCAAAGTTTAACCACCAATTAAGTAGGTTATCTAAAATTGCTGTCATGAAACCTAATAGGCTAGAGCATACAAGTAGAAGAGTATTTGATGCTTTCTCTGGCAATATATACCCTATATGACAAACCTAAAAGAATCAATAATGTTAAAGATAAGGTCAAAGGATTGGCCATAAGCCACCTAAAGTAATTGGGTGAGGGTTAAAAACAACATCTTATTACATATATTAAACATTAATAGGTAAAGGAAAAACAGTTATGTTAATTGAATGTCTTAATTATGTTGACCAAGTTATACACCCTTACATTATTTTTCCCTGGAGTAAGGATGATTAATTCCTTATTAGAAGGAAGTTACTTCCCTTTGTCTTCATTTGAGACAAGTCCGGATTGATTCCTTATTAGAATGAAGATACTTCCCTTACTGTATCTTCATTAGAGACAAGATGATTGTTTCCTCATTAGAAGGAAGTTACTTCCCTTTGTCTTCATTTGAGCCATGATGATTGATTCCCTATTAGAAGGGAGTTAATTTCCTTAGTCTTTATTTGAGACAAGTCATGATTGATTCCTTATTAGAAGGAAGTTACTTCCCTTAGTCTTTATTTGAGACAAGTCCTGATTGATTCCTTATTAGAAGGAAGTTACTTCCCTTTGTCTTCATTTGAGACAAGTCCTGATTGATTCCTTATTAGAAGGAAGTTACTTCCCTTCCATTAGTCTTCATTTGAGACTTGTCATAATTGATTCCTTATTAGAAGGAAGTAACTTTCCTTAGTCTTTATTTGAGACAAGTCATGATTGATTCCTTATTAGAAGAAAGATACTTTCCTTTTTTGGTCTTCATATGAGCCATGATGAAGTTAGACTCCTTTTTCCTATTTCTACCTGAAGCTAGGATGCTTGATTACTTATTAGAACTAATTGACACCATCTTACTTCATTTTTACACCACTTTTTTTTTCGTTTTAACATCACCTTATTTCATTTATGTGGGCTATTATAACCATATCATTATTTTTCATGGGGATTTATTTCCTTTTTAAGTTGTTGTTTTTTTGTGATTAATCTATGAATTTAAGATCCAATGAACATTATTTGCAAAAATAACGACAATGGCCTTTGACAAGACCACAAAATTTCATGCCAACAAAATTAAGTGAACTCACAGTACTTCACATCACATGAGAAGAAAAAGCTAAAGCCTAAAGCAAATGGTGATATATTCAGTCATGATGCTCTAACTCTTAGATCTTCTGTAAACAAGTAAAGATAAGTTTTTGCCTACAATGGCAGTTGTTGACAATATTCTACATCTGATGGATATAAAAGCCGTTATCAAGTGGACCAAGTTTGATGAAGAAGAGGTTTGTAGCTTTCTGACATCTGATTAAAATATTGTATTCATCATATGCAAAGACTTCAATTCAAAGTTGTTTATATATTCTTTTAAACTTCAATGGTAAAAGAAGAGTTCAGCTGCCCTTCTGTGTATTACTTCTGGCAAAAGCGGGCACCTGCACACCATTTTAAAAATGTGTTGTAGTCTATGCACTTCAGCCAAGATGATTGATTACATTAGATTGAAGTTACACTGCTTTTTTCTTTGTCTACCCGAAGCCAGGATGCTTTTGCCTGAAGTAATGCACAGAAGGGAACCTGAACTCTTCTTTTACCATAGAAGTTTAAAAGGATAGTAGCCGCGTCATGACAAAACCAACATAGTGCGTTTGCGACTAGCATGGATCCAGACCAGCCTGAGCATCCAGCAGTCTGATCAGGATCCATGCTGTTCGCTTACAAACCCTATTACAAGTAGAGAAACTGTTAGTGAACAGCATGGATCCTGATCAGACTGCGCAAATGCGCAAGACTGCGCAAATGCGCAGGCTGGTCTGGATCCATGCTGGTTGCAAACCCCATTATGTTGGTTTGTCGTGACGTGGCTCATTTATATTATTAATTTTGAATCATTGTCTTTTATAATGGGTCATAGTTTGCTACAATGTTGTGCAATTGTACAACAAAAATTTACACAAAGACACTTCTTGTGTGCACTGTGACATCAAATGTGCCAAAAGTGACAGCAGACACAATAAAAACATCAACATAAGCATGGATACCAAGCAGAAAAAGCCAAAATGATGTAACAGAAGAAACAGTATTGTTTCCTTAAAGAATTTGGATAAAAATTTTCCAACAAGATTGAAGATTGTGTCAGCTGATAGCAATCACAGAAATATTATTACCAATATTAAGATTGTGTACGGCAACAACAATGGATCTTAAGCTAGCTGGATAGCTTCCTCACATGAAAGAATCCAAAGTCCCTGTCGGGATTCGAACCCACAACAATGGATCAGACACCGTGACTGTAGCAATAGCTTGAAAAAGTCAGGCTAAAAAATTGGATTGTAGCTACTGACATGTGAGCAGTTCTCGTACAAAAATTATAGTTACTTAAAAAATAATTTTTATTACGCTGACTCTGACACCAAAAAATTGAATGTTACACATCAATATTTGGCTCGTCACACAAATCACGGAAATTTCATTATGTTCTTAACATAGAATAAGCCTAAGTTATGAGGCCTCATACGGGGTACTGAAATTATCCATTATTTTGTATCAAGAGAAGTAGTTCCCGTACATAAAATATAACCCAGTATAATAATACAATGTTGTTAAATCAGACATAATTTAGTATTTATAATTGTTGAAGAGACCATTTTCCCAGAGGTAGGTAGATGTAATTCAGGATAAAGAACATCGACTAAACGCTGGTATCTATTACCCGGTACTGGTACCCCAACACAATCACAGGCAATGGCATGCTTGTATGCATGATATTTTACTCATTAAAGTCATAAAATTATTAAATATAGTATTATAGGTAAAAATTCTGATAATTAAACAGTGTCCATGTATCTGTACACAGGTGGTTTTACTGGAAAACCCTTTGACAGGCCTCATATGTAAGTATTTTTGCGCATGTGCCCAAGGAATAAATCAGCAAGGTCACGTTTTGACAACCCACAGGTGAAAGTGATTTAAAATAAAAACTTTTTATATATACTGCTGAAATGACACTTACATTCTGACTAGTTTTTGCATTTGCTTGATTTGATATCAATTTTTGAAGAATGCAAGAAAAAATCAAGCGTTCAAACAAAAACAGGGTACTGCTTCTATACGGGAACTGTTTGCATGCCAGTACATCAGTTGCAAAGCAAAAATTAATTTGGCCATTTTGGATGAGAAAAACCAAAACAAAATAATTTGGTAATTGATTCATATTTATTTCTTTAAGTAGCTAGGAAACAGTTATTTTATATTTTGAAACAGCTATTGTTTTTTCTTTAACATTTTGCGTAATTAGGCATCGATAAAACAGCTGCTAAATAGCCAGAAACAGGTTTTTCCCTGACAAGATCCCCCCTCTTTTGGTAACCACAATTATCAGTAGTTTGAAAGATTTACATGTATGCAGTAATCAGTCTGTAAGTTACACTTTTTTATTCCCTTTACAATCACTTTTCAAATCTCATACTAATTCTATAAGCTTTCAGGAGAAAAAGATCATTTTGTTGATCCCTGTTTTAAAAAAGCTTGCCAGATTTTAAATGAACACAGGATATGACAGAATAGGTCATGATACATATTTCATCACAAAGAAAAACTATCCAGTCACCAATATTGCTATGATATGCATAAAATTTAAAAAACACATTTGCTATTGATTATTCACCTTGGCTTCTGTTTTTGGTTTGGCCCCTCCTTGACCCTCCTCTGAAGAAAAAAAAAATGTTTGAAAAATAATTAAATACACAATTTATACCAAAATTTAAATAATTTCATACATAAATAGATTGGGTCAATGTTATTTGTATTACGCTGTACTATCCTCTCTGTGCAAGTAAATTATATTTTGATATGATGATAAAATTAGAATTTAAATTTTTTTCACTGGAATGCTAGTGTGTTAAAGCATATGTTTGTGTAAGAGTTTAGCATTTTTCCCAACAAGCTTACAGTGTACAATTTTAGCATTAAAGGCACTCCACAGAGGTTTTTTGGACATGACGTGACTGAAAATATTTTTTCAAGATTAATGTTCCACTTAATGTAGGTCTATAACAGTAACTTGTGTGCAAAATTCAGATTGTTCAATAACTTTTTTTCTCGAGTAAGTATTCTAGTTGTGACAAATGACCCAAAATTGAAAAGAGGTGCAACACTTTTCAATCAAATCAGGCTAAGAATAGCACAAAAATATGAATTTCAATTTATTTCTGAGTATATTTCTTAATAAACTTCTCATATATTTCTGTTTTAAGTACCACAACAGATCTATGGATGAAATACAGATTTTATAGGCTTTTATACCTCAGTGGAGTTAAATAATTTTTTGGGATAAATGTTCCATATGATGTAGGTATAGACCAATTATGTAGGTATAGACCAATTATGTAGATATAGACCAATTATTTGTGTACAAACTTACAGGTTATCCACACACGTAATTTTTCCCGAATAATTATTTAAAACGTTTTTATCTCAAATCAGGCTCAAAATAGCACAAAATTACAATTTTTAAATTTATTTCTGAGTATATTTTTAAATTATCAGATCATTTATTATTTGATCTATTTAAGAAATTCAAATTTTATGTTTTTAGACTTTTGGACTGTAGTGGAGTTCCTTTAACAAGATGAAACACTTCAGCAGTATTTACCTGTCTTACTATCACCATTTGCTTGTTCTTTATTTTCCTCCATTTTTTTCTGCTCTTCTTTAGCTTTTTCAATCCTTTTGTATTCCTCTAAAATTACAATAAATAACAAACATTTCATAAATCATTCAACCTTTGTTTGTTTGTTTTGGTTTTACGTCACACCGACACAGTATAAGTCATTCGGCGAGGTTCCACCTTTTCTGGTGGTGGAGGACCTCAGGTGCCCCTCCGTGCATTATTTCAGGCAAGAACAGGCACCTAAGTAGAACCACCAACATTCCGTAAGCTAGCTGAATAGCTTCCTCATATGAAAAAATCCAAAGTCCCTGTTGGGATTCAAACCCACAGCGGTGAGGGGCAAGTGGTTTGAAGTCAACGACTTTAACAACTAGGCCACGAACCCCCCTACCTTTGTTTGTAGTGACTCTACAGACAAACCTGTGTGACAGACAATCTCCATGTAAAACTAAACATTTAAGGCCTGTGTTATATAAGACCATACATTTAAGACCTGTCAAATAAGACCAAACATTTAAGGCCTGTGTTATATAAGACCATACATTTAAGACCTGTCATATAAGACCATACATTTAAGACCTGTCATATAAGTCCATACATTTAAGACCTGTCATATAAGACCATACATTTAAGACCTGTCATATAAGACCAAACATTTAAGACCTGTCATATAAGACCAAACATTTAAGACCTGTAATATAAGACCATACATTTAAGACCTGTCATATAAGACCATACATTTAAGACCTGTCATATAAGACCATACATTTAAGACCTGTCATATAAGACCATACATTTAAGACCTGTCATATAAGACCATACATTTAAGACCTGTCATATAAGACCAAACATTTAAGACCTGTCATATAAGATTATACATGTAAGACCATACATTTAAGACCTGTCTTATAAGACCATACATGTAAGACCTGTCACATGAGACCAAACTTTTAGTTTCCTGTCCTATCAATCATAGACAAAATATGCATCATAACAACTCTTAAATACAAAGATCACTGACTCAATTTCTCTTGATTTGCTGCTACAGGCAGGTTTGATTGTTTTTTCTTTGATGGGTTTTACAATTGATAGATCCCTACTCTGACCTTTTATTTGAATAACAATAGATTTAACCACAAAAATTGACATGTGCTATTTTGTTCAGAAATATGTTCTGGTGAAATTCTTATTGTATCCATTTATCTGATAATTAGAATTAGACAGGTCAGGGATTTATGCATTACAATATCAAGAAAAAGCTATGACAATAAAAATAGCTCAATATATCATTTTGTCTTCAGACATATTGGATTGCAAGAGTTGGAAATAAACTTGATACCTTGTTAGGTGGAAGTCAAGAGTTACATATAATATCAGAGTTACTTAAAGTATACTAACCGAACAACTGTTTGCAGATTTTCTTGTGTGTGAACCAATGCATTTTCTGACAGACTGGAGTACAATAATGAGCCTAAAGTGAAAAATATACTTAATATATTAAGTGAAAAATACAAAATACATGTACATCATAAAATGAGAAATATAGCATAACTTGGAGTGAAAAATACACAAATAAAACCTGTACAAAATTGTAATATATACTAAATTTCTGCACCAACACAGTAAAGGTCAAATGGTGACTTTCCAGCTTTACTTATGAAGACCTCAGGTGCCCCTTTGTGCATTATTCAGACTCAAACAGGCACCTGAGTCGAACCACCCCATTCTGTCAGCTAGCTGGATAGCTTTCTCACATAAAAGAATCTGGAGAAGCTACATTTAAAATAACCTACAATGAGAAACAAAATTAAAAGCAAGTCTGAGGCATAATGGGCCTTTAAAACATACCATTTTACAAGCTGAACATTTCTTTATAGCATTGGGTTCGCCACATGTACTACATTCCTCCACCTCATCAAAGCCAAACTTTTGTCCATTTACACCTTGATTCAATATGTTTAATGAAGTGGGATGTTCACCCTGAAATGTTGATGACAAAGATGTTAAATATTGACAATATAAACTATATGTTTCAGCGATTTTTTCTCTACTTTGGGAATGGTGCCGGCACCAGACCTATTGGGAAAAAGATGCGTTATTTTTACTTAAATAGGGAATTTTTTATGCATTTTTTCATCTACAAAAAAGATTAGTCATCATTAATAAAAACAGCAGTCCAGGTAGAACTATTGAGTGGTGATTTATATGAATTTGTTGGATTTAAATGATTTCAGAGAAAGCACTTGGCCTTGTGGGAATTTTGAACAGCCATTTTGAGAATTTAAACATTGGAAATTGGGAATTTTAATGTCTATTTTCTATTGGGAACAGTACCGTTTTAGGGTAGTAGTTATATAAAGGAAAAAAACATTGTGTTTTTAACATTGCTTATGACATTTATATAAATATCTACACGGATGCTGTCACTTGATACAATAATTTCTTCTTTTTCTATAATAAAGGAAGTTTTCTATATCATAATGTGGTTCAACTTGTTCAATAAATTCAATATTGAACTTAACACTCATTTAATATCCTCTATATATTTAGTTCACAATAAATTTAGTTTTCTTGAGAGATATAAAGGTAATTACAATTTTTGTAGCTGACAACTGTCTGACCATATTCTGTAAGAGTTGAGATTCCGCAAATGGGAATTCTTTAAGTGCTTGCCGTATAAGTTGATCTTGCAATACTGGATGACCATCCCCAGGTCTCCCTCTTAATAACCTGTTCAACAAAAAAATAGAATCTTAGGAAATATCAATATTTGAAAAAACAGGATAAACAAGATATGTTTGTAAAACATGTATGCCCCCTATCAGCAGCCAATTAGTCATGTGATAAGGTTATTATGCATGACTTCTGACCCAGTGATCAAACAATTAATAAGGGTTATCAAGAATCTACTGGTCATGACCTTAACCTTTGACCCCTTGACCCAAAACTCAATAGGGGTCATCTGCTGGTCATGACCAATCATCATACAAAGTTTGAAGTTCCTAGGCCTAAGTGTTTTTAGTTAATTGATCTGAAACCGTTTTTACCTACAAGGTCAATGTGACCTTGACCTTTGACCCCTTGACCCCAAAATCAATAGGTCATCTGCTGGTCATGACCAATCACCATACCAAGTTTGAAGTTCCTAGGCCTAAGGCTTCTTTAGTTATTGATCGGAAACCGTTTTAACATACAAGGTCAATGTGACTTTGACCTTTGACCCCAAAATCAATAGGGGTCATCTGCTGGTCATGACCAATCACCATGCCAAGTTTGAAGTTCCTAGGCCGAAGCATTCATTAGTTATTGATCAGAAACCGTTTGTACTTACAATGTAATGTGATCTTGACCTTTGACCCCTTGATCCCAAAATCAATAGGGGTAATCGGCTGGTCATGACAAATCACCATACCAAGTTTGAAGTTCCTAGGCCTAAGTGTTCTTAAGTTATTGATCAGAAACAGTTTTCACTTACAAGGTCAATGTGACCTTGACCTTTGACCCCTTGACCCAAAACTCAAAAGGGGTCATCTGCTGGTCACGACCAATCATCATACAAAGTTTGAAGTTCCTAGGCCTAAGCATTTTTAGTTAATTGATCAGAAACCGTTTTTACCTACAAGGTCAATGTGACCTTGACCTTTGACCCCAAAATCAATAGGTCATCTGCTGGTCACAACCAATCATCATACAAAGTTTGAAGTTCCTAGGCCTAAGCATTTTTACTTAATTGATCGGAAACCGTTTTTACCTACAAGGTCAATGTGACCTTGACCTTTGACCCCAAAATCAATAGGTCATCTGCTGGTCATGACCAATCACCATACCAAGTTTGAAGTTCCTAGGCCTGAGGGTTCTTAAGTTATTGATTGGAAAGCATTTTTACCTACAAGGTCAATGTGACCTTGCCCTTTGACCCCTTAACCCCAATATCAATAGGGGTCATCTGCTGGTCATAACCAATCACCATACCAAGTTTGAAGTTCCTAGGCCTAAGGGTTCTTTTGTTATTGACCAGAAACCGTTTTTACCCAAGAGGTCAATGTGACCTTGACCTTTGACCCCTTGACCCCAAAATCAATAGGGGTCATCTACAGATCATGACCAATCACCATACTAAGTTTGAAGTTCCTAGGCCTTAAAGTTCATAAGTTATTGATCGGAAACCGTTTTTACCTACAAGGTCAATGTGACCTTGACCTTTGACCCCTTGACCCCAAAATCAATAGGGGTCATTTGCTGGTCATAACCAATTACCATACGAAGTTTGAAGTTCCTAGGCCTAAGGGTTCTTTTGTTATTGATCAGAAACCGTTTTTACCTAAGAGGTCAATGTGACCTTGACCTTTGACCCCTTGACCCCAAAATCAATAGGGATCATCTACTGATCATGACCAATCACCATACCAAGTTTGAAGTTCCTAGGCCTTAAAGTTCTTTAGTTATTGATTGGAAACTGTTTTTGCTAACAAGGTCAATGTGACCTTGACCTTTGACCCCTTGACCCCAAAATCAATAGGGGTCATCTACTGATCATGACCAATCACCATTACCAAGTTTGAAGTCCCTAGGCCTAAGGGTTCTTTCGTTATTGATTGGAAACCGTTTTTACCTACAAGGTCAATGTGACCTTGACCTTTGACCCCTTAACCCCAAAATCTCCCTTGACCCCAAAATCAATAGGGGTCATCTACTGGTCATGACCAATCACCATACCAAGTTTGAAGTTCCTAGGCCTAAGGGTTCTTTAGTTATCACTCGGAAACCATTTGGTCTACGGACCGACAGACCGACGGACCGACAAGTGCAAAGCAGTGCAAAGCAGTATACCCCCTTTTCCTCGAAATGGGGGCATAATAATGAAAATCAAATTACCGTATTTACTCGTCTATAAGTTGGATCACTCATATGACGGGGGTACTTGAAAGAACAGATGGAAGAAGATTTTGCAATCCTGATAAATTTTTTATTAATTTTTTTTTTTAGTTCACACTTGAGCAACCATTTTTGGTCTGAAAGAACTAATTCAATAAAGATTCTACAATCTGGTCCCATGGTATATACGTAATGCTATTGCTACTGTTCTAATCAGGGGAGTTAACTGCTGCTCTCTTAATATTCTCGACTGACACAATGATTTATACACTCTTGAAATAATTATAATACATGATGTAGTATTTTCCTGTAAACTCTAACATATTTGTTTCTTTATAGTATATATATGAAAAAGCATTCAAGGAATTTATAAGACTTTACAAATATAAAAATTATATTTTTTTTCTGAGCTTCAAACTTTATTTTGATGGATATAAAAAGATAAGGTAGTTCTTTAGCATATGCAACTGGATACAACAGTATGCGAAGGCTTTATCAACTTCTAAAAATCAGATACATATAAGTTTGTATTATATCATTAAAAAAAAGTTTGCAGTGGGAGATAAATTACTACAGTTTCGATATTATACCTTTCATTTTAACAAATGATCAAAGAAAAAATTGTCAAAATTTGTAACAAATAACGCAACAATCTATTGATGATATCATTGACATCGCTAGAATTGCGTGTATACTTACTTTTTAATCCATTCATCAAGACTAGTGTCATCTTTAGCTTTACGTATGATGGTTGCGAAGTAATGGGCTTTCATTGCCATGACATCATCAGTGTCCTTAGATTTCATTGCCTTCTCACAGATCATGTCTAATACTTTACATACTTTATAACTCTCGTCCATGAGTTCTGAATTATCTTTTAGATGTAGTGAGACCTGTTAAATAGCAATATCTATATAAATCACAATTTCAAAATTTTCTCTGCAAAGACTTCACATAACAGGAGAACGAATAAAAGTCTGGACAGAAATATTGTGTAAGTGGGGATGCAGAGACAAACAGATGCTGCAATTTTAATATGCTGCCCATTAGGGGCATAAAAAAACAACAACAAAAAAACCACATCTGCTTTAATGGAGAAATGTTAATATACAGTCACAGAGGTAACATTTACCTTAACAGGATGCATGTTGGACATATTGAGTAATTTTAGCAAAGCTGGTAGCACCATTGGTGGTAGTTTGGGTTCTTTTTCTTGACCTAAAAACAACACACAGAAAAAACATTAGATAAAAAAAAACCAGAGCAAACCTATGAAGTTTTATTTATTATGATATCCAAATTAACAAAAACACTATTTCATCTCAAATCATAAAATGAAAGTTAAATTTTTAGAAAATCTTTAAAATCTCAACACAGGTACAGTTCTTGTGTTTTAGTACAGTATTTCTCATTATTTTATCATTTTATTATGTAACATTGACAGTTTATAATAAATAAATACCATACCATTTGTACTATGCACTCTTTTACTCCTTTTTTTTGGTACTGTTTAAGATCTTAAAATTTGCTTTTTAAATATTATATGTTTTAAGTTGTGTACATCTTGTACAGTAACAATATCGTTATTATGTGATTATATGCCTGTAAAGCCAATGATACGAAATAAAATATATTCTTTTTCATTCTATAAACTAGTAAAATATTACAGTCAAAGAATATTTGTAATATTTTGATATGTTTTTACAGTTTTTCAACAGAGCATTTCAACATTACATCTTTAAAGTATTTCAACATGACTTTACCTCTAGGCACTGTGTAATATTCAAGGTCATGTTTGTCATAATAGTTGTTTATCACTGCTACACACTGATGCTGACCTGTAAACGGAGATAAACATTTAAACAAATATATGAAGCTTAATAATATTACACTTTGATCCTTTCTTTAAATAATCAAAGATGAAAAAAATACACAAAGAAATATCTTGAAGTTCATTATACCTTTCTGGTCATTTTTTTTTGTAATTCTTATTTTCAGTTCATTTTCCTTATGTGAGAGTGTATTTCCACTGGTACATCATTAAAAAATATACTTAGTTCAATACCCTGCTGTGACCTTGACGTTTGAGCTTGGGACCAAGATCTTGCAAGCAATATGGTGATTATAAGGACCATTTTATTGGGAAATCCCATCATGCATGCAAAATTTATGGCTCGGACATTAAGAATATTATTTTCAACACACATACAGACACCGCCTCCGTGGTGGAGGGGTTAGAGTCGATGACTTCTAATCCAGTTACCTCTCTGGCGTGGGTTCAATCCCCGGGAGATGCTTTGGTAGTTTAGAGCGGAGGAAGGTAGTCTTGTACTGGTGTAACTCTCCAGGAAAGATGGTTAGGAAACTACCTGCCTATATGACTGAAATACTGTTGGAAAAAGGCGTAAATGAAACAAACAAACACACATACAGACAAGGGTAAGACTGTGCACCCCCATTTTATGGCAAGGAACATGGCTGCTGTGGAGCATGTTCATGAAGATTGTTAAACTTTATTCAAAATTTGAGAAACTTTGGAGAAAATCTTACCAACAAAAGCGGCCATCTGTGCTGCATTTCTCCCCACTGTGTTAGTACGATCTTTCCTTGCTCCATGTTGTAACATTAACCTTGTCACATCCGGATTCCCTGAAATATCATGTGATTCAAAAATAACTTGGTAAACATATTCCTTTTTTAGATAGTCTTACTGTAATGCTTTCCAGCCAAAAAAAATCTTACATTGGCCAGTATCGTAGCAAATCGGTTATTTCCAGAAGGTTATCTTGTCTTCTAAATCTTGGGCATTAGATTATTTACAATCACTCATCCTTTATTGCTATGTACTAAATTCTGGTTATATGCCGCTAAAAATTATTGAATACCAAAGTATGTGAAAAAAAATAATGATCAGGAAATGACAGATTTATATCGACATTGGCCGATGTTAGAAATTTTTTTGCCGGGAAAGCATTGCAGTAAAACTACCTTAAATTCAAACAAAAGTTTATAAACTTTACGCCAATAATCATGTAAAGGGACTAAACTATACAGTAGTGTCTAAATAAAAAGAAAATCACATCAAGAGTAAGCTCCCTTTTATTGGAAAACAAAATACTGAGTATTAAAACATTCTATTAAAAACTAACCTGATAATGCTGCAAACATAAGGGCAGTATAACCATTCTCATGTTGATCTGAGTTAACATTGGCCCCTACACTTATCAACTGATCTGCAATGTCACATTTTCCCCTGAATGCTGCATGCTGTAGAGGGGTCATCCCAGACTGAAATGTTTGGTAAAATGTTACAATAAAATAATAATCTGCCATAAATATGAAAGACTTTTATAAGTTGAAAGTTACAGGTAAATTCTGATCAATATTGTCAGAAATTTTCTTCAGCCGCATGAGTTATTTATCGTTCATGCCAAGTAAGTAATAAAAGAGAAAAGAATTATGGCAAAATGTGAAATTATTTTGGCTTTCACCTTTTCACCCACTATACACACTTGGATGGGAATAATGTCACTTTAATGGTAAGTGAATGTACCATACTATCAAGCAAATAATCAGCTTCTTTTGCTTTAGCCTAATATATCATAATATTTTAGTTTTACTTTTCGCTAGGGTTTTTACTCAATCTCATTAAAATCAGATCATCATGTTTTGCTCTGGTACCTTAACCAATCTGCAAAGGCAAGGGAACGTACTGAAAAACTTGGGACCGTTTTAAATAAAACCAACAAATCACTGGCTTATGTTTATTGTATGACAGTCAGACAGACTTTAACTGCATGGGACAGATATCTCATAATGAACAATAAGAAATTTTGAAGTAGAGCTGCCCCATTACCATTACACAAAGTCTGTAGGGAAATGTGAATTAATGCCTTGTTAGCCTTGACTATTAACTTTTATTCTTTTTACCTATTTTCAAATTATATTAAATCAGTCAATTTCTATTTATTCTGAACAATTCAAGAAGCTGCTTTCAAAGCATTTAGATTTTATTTTTAGACACAGCTCAAATGGTTTTAAAGCTTAGAAATTTTCCACTTTCTATATCTGATATTTTACAATTTTATTGATCTCTGATATGTTCTATATTACGGCATCAGATACAGATATTAGATTTAATGACTTGTGAAGATGACAACTGATAAATGCACCTGTCATTCACATGTTAGGAAGAAGGTGATAACAACAAGAACCAGGTGTATTGACCAAACTGTAGCAGTTCTGTACAAGGGAAGTAACTACTGTATTGGAAATCAATAATTGTGAAACACTGGTTCTCTCCCTTTATTGTAAATCAATAAAAGCTAAAGGTGCAGTAAAGTTTTATGATAATGAGTCTTTGTTGTGATGATGATAAGATAGTATTAACACCATTAAAGTGTGCTATAAATAAATGCTGTATTTTCACTTTATTACATCAGGTCACCACCATTTTCTGAATTCTTATGATACTACTACAAAATTAAACATGTATACACTTGTAACTTTTATTGGTTTATTTACAGTGAAGTTGTCATAAAATCCTACATAAATGCAAATAAGATAAGAGAAATCAACAAAATACATAATCTATCTTCAAATATCAAATAAAGATGCAAAAAAATTGCAGTGGGCAAGTTTATGGTTGTTTTGGTTTTATATAACTTCCAGTTTGCCTAAACAAATAACAATTGAGAAAATATACATGTATATACATTTACATAAACATAATAATAAAGTCGGTAAACAGAAAGAACCTTTGAACCCTTAAGTCTCAGGCTGAATAATAATAAAGTTTGCTTTACTTAGATATAAATATACAGTTAAATTTCCTTAAAGTGGCCTTTAGGTTTTCTTAAAGGCCAATTATGCCTCAGAAATGCTTTTATGTTTATTTCTCAAAAGCTCATTAATTTTGTTGTACTTTAGTTTTATAATATCCAAAAAGTTACTAATTGGTTAATTACCTTCAACATCTTTTTTATCTGTTGCATTTTGGCAATCAGTACACTTACAATAAATAAGTATTTTCTATGGAAGTCAAAATACTACTTTGTTTACATTTTACTACTTCTATGACAAATTATTTCAAATTTATCTCTACTTTCTTATCTAACATTCACAAAAGCCATTACATGTATTTCACCATTATAAAATTAATGTTTGCCCTTTCTAAAGAAGTAAAAATTTATTTGTTTCTGAGGCATGTGTTGCAAAATTACTGCATCTAATTACTGCATCTTGAAAAAAAGAAATGACAGAAAAAAGTGTATAATTTTTGTAAACACCTCTATTGACAAATATTGGTTGTGACGCCTTGACCTAACTGTAGCTAATTGATACTATACATCGTGCTCAGCAAAAGGAAATATTCTTCAGGGTTTCCCTTTGCAGTAAATAACAAAAAAATGTAACTCTTTTCTCAGCAACTGTTTTTAGGGGATTCTTTTTCATTAATTTTAGGATTCATTTTCTTTAAATGAGAAAAAACAATATCCATATTTATCATAATAGTCTGACCAATGAAATAGCCAGAAAAAGGCCTAGATTCATTGCTGATTTAATCCCACAGAGATAGTGTCTAAGTGGCTTTACAGCTCAGTCAGTAAAGCTGTGGTACATTATTCCGAGGGTCCCGGGTTCGAGTCCCGGTCAGACTGAACATTTTTCTCACCCCGTGACAATTTTGTTTACACTTAACTTACCTCATCAAGACAATCAACCTTCACATCTTTCTCCTGCAATAATACCTTAACCTCTGCTAAAGCACCTGTAAGTAAAAAAGATATGGATATCAGTAACACTGATTGTGTGATTGATGTAGCAACTTCTCCGCAACAGGCTTGACATTACTGGGACAGAGATAGTGACCAAAACTCCTATTTGACAACAATTTTTTTTGTCTGACAGATCTAAAAAAAATGGTAGGGTCGGGCAGATTTTTATCATGTAGGGTAGAGTGACTCTAACAAAACAATTTTTTTGGTCAAATAGTAGGCATGAAAAAATATATAAGACAGTGCCACTGTGACTGTTAACACTTCAAAAACTAATTTCAATACTATTTTTTACATTTTACACTACATACCACTAAATTAAATTAACATTATCAGAATAGAACATCAGAAGCATGTTTTATGAAAATAAAGTTCAAATGCTGTAAGGAGCGAGCCATTGTTTCCTTTAATATAGCAAGAAACATTACATTCATTGCTTAGTACTGGTTGCCATATTTCATATTTTGCTCTTTATTTAACCTGTCTGCAAAATTAAAACAACATTTTGTCTGCAAAACAGATTTTCCTATTTTCACCTATCATTTGAAATTGATATTTTGCTCTTTGTGTAACTTGTCTGAAAAACTCAAACTAAATTCTGTCTGCAAAATACAGAATTTCCTTATTTTCCTCTATCATTTCATATTTTGTTCTTTATGTAACTTTTCTGAAAAATTAAAACAACATTCTGTCTGCTAAACAGATTTTTTTTCTATTTTCACCTTTCACTTGATTTTTTGCTCTTTGTGTAACTTGTCTGAAAAATTCAATCTATATTCTGTCTGCAAAATACAGATTTTCCTTATTTTCCCCTATCATTTCATATTTTGTTCTTTATGTAACCTGTTTGCAAAATTCAATCAACATTCTGTCTGCAAAACAGATTTTCCTATTTTCACCTATCATTTGAAATTGATATTTTGTTCTTTATGTAACTTGCCTGAAAAACTCAATCTAAATTCTGTCTGCAAAATACAGATTTTCCTTATTTTCCCCTATCATTTAATATTTTGTTCTTTATGTAACCTATTTGCAAAATTCAATCAACATCCTGTCTGCAAAACAGATTTTCCTATTTTCACCTATCATTTGAAATTGATATTTTGTTCTTTATGTAATTTTTCTGAAAAATTCAATCTAAATTCTGTCTGCAAAATACAGATTAGCATAGTCACCATCTTTGAAAGTCTCCCATTCACACCTCTTGCAAAGTCTGTTGGCAAAGTATACATTTTGTTCGTTTTTGTTACTTTTATGACAAAATATTTAACATTGCACCCTATTTTCTTCAGGTAACAAACATCAAACATGATCTTAAACCATCATTTAAATATCATGTGCGCCCTTTCTAAGGAAGAAACAAAATAATTGTTTCTGAGGCATTACATGCATGCAAACAAGATACTTCACCCCTCAAACATTGAAGACACTTAACCCCTCAAGACACTTCACCCCAAAAATCAGTAAGACAATTCATCCCTCATCCATTTTTTTTATAAAGTTAAATACTTCAACAACAAATAAAGCTTTTATATGTTTAATTATTTTTAATAATTCAACATCAAATAAATCTTTGATATGTTTATTTTAATAACTTTTTCCAGTTAACATAATTTTTAATACATAACATGAAGAACATTTATTGTTTATCAGGGCTTCCCTTAATGGAAGTTTGGGGTCATTTACTCCTTGATTTGGCTTGTGACTTCCAAAATTTAATACTTTTTCTTCTTTACCTATATAACATGACTTCCAAAATCAGAGATTTTGCAGTCTCTGACTTTCAAATTTTGAAACTTAATGGAAGCCCTGGTATATATAAATCACATGCATTAGATCTATGTGCCGTGAGTTATCTTACTTAACTTTACTTTATCCAGCATAGGGTCGCGAGATCAGAAATTTTTTGTAACCCCCTCAAGGTCTGACACCATACATGCCATAACGTCCCGGATGTCCGGGAAAGTCCCAGAAATAAGGTGTCTGTCCTGGAGGTATCCCAGAGATGATTTATGTCCGGGTAAAATAAATCTAAGTTAGTGTACTTTGTAGCCATAAATTTGACATTTTTATACCGGGAAGTCAAAGTCCGGGCCCGCTTTGGCTTGCCCAACTATAGACTACACGTGTATATTTAAAAGAAAATCAAATAAAAAAACAATTAAAAAATATATAGAATTCTATACCTATCAATGAAATTTTCAGTGTCAGTTCTAGTTAGGCGCCGCCATTTACAATGTAACTCAATGATAAAAGGAGGTGTATTCCGATAACGGAACAAATCTCAACTTTTCGGATTAATAATACAGTAATCGTCGAGTGTTCCGAGTGAAAACGGAAGCCGGTATATATAATACCGAATGACACCTTTAAAACGGAAAAAATGAAAGGATTTTTTACCGACTTCCCTGTTCATAGGCTTTGCCTAATTTCATATTATAATCTTATTGTCAAGTTATTATAAACTATTCTAGAATGATAATAAAGAACGATTATCCCCTTCCAGCATTGCAATGGTGACACTAATCCTCTGATTGGTATATCTATGTGCTCCTTCCAACAAACAATTATTGGCAATAATTTTGATCAATTAAAAGATTAATTGTTTACCCCCTGTCAGGCTGTGGGCAGAGCTGCATCAGTACTAAGGATGTAGTACTTAAGTACCAGTACCAGTACATAAAACTATAACAAGCCTGTAACGTCTAATCTATTGGACTACACTGAGTGATACAACATACATGTAGATCTAAATTATTTTGAAGCAACCTGAAAATTAAAAATAAAACTTATCATACCTCTATTGATTGCATCAATCAACTTCTTTTCATTCTCTGATAAGTCTGGAAAGGTCTGTTTTGTCTTCTCTGATGCCATTTTATCTAAAAAAGCTGTAAAGTAGATGTTAGTTTCGCTTTTGCTTTAAGGGCAAACTGCAAGGGTATCTTTTACAGTTAGCACCGCTTCTATTACCCGAAAGGACCATACTTACAACGAAAGTGTTATTACCTAAAATAGTACATTTTTATGATGTGTACGTGGCGCTAATAACCGTTGTCAGTTGGAAAAACATTTTATGTATGCTACAGAAGAATTATCATAAACACTTATGCAAAAAGAGATAAAAATCACAATACTGATAATAATAATAATAATAAAATCTTTATTTGGAGAAGGATACTGTAGATTCATGTTTACACAAAAAAAAACAAAAAAACAAAAAAAAAAAAAAAAAAAAAACGGAAAATGTAAACATGTATTTCACAATAACAAAATAAATCATGTTTGAAATTGTGATAATCAGAAAATGTTTCTTTACATATGTTTCTGAAAGATAGTAGTTTCAATCATCGTTTGATAGAAATAGGTAATTTGTTCAAAACAGTATACATGTACGTTCACTGAAATAAGAAAAAATATTCTTTAAATAATAAGTATATGGTATAGTTTTCAGCATTGAAAGTAAATAATGTTTATTGTGAGAAAAATCAAACAATTCACTCATATAACACGGTGCAATATACTGGTCAAAGATTTTTAAGTCATATAATTCATGTGTGGTATTTCACCATTTAATTAAATTTCAGTGCCTATAGGAATAATACTGCCCGTTTCTCATAGAATATTTTGAAACAGAAACTTGCTTTGACTTGTATGTACAGACACATAAAATAATCCCCTGGAAAAAATGGAGTCAGATTTGTAGTTGTTTCAAGATGGGAAATGTTCATGTTTCTAATAAGAATGAGGCAGCATTTGGTCTCTGTTTTTGTAGAAAATGAATTTAATTGCAACCTACGCTGTTAATGTATAAATAGCATGTTAACGACATTACTTAGGTTACTAGTTCTACTGTCTGGCATGTTAAAAATTATTTAAAAAAAAAACTAAAACAATATAGTTTATGAAAACATGTTTCATTTAATTTGTTTGGGTCATCTGAAGACTGCTGCTTTATCTATCTTCAGCCTGTCAAAACATACAGGGCTATTGAGTATTGACCTTAAGACTCTTTAACTCTTTAGAACGTTATATTTCTTTGTTTTCTGTTTTTGTTTCCATTAGTGCCAAACACTAGAAAACAACATTCTAAATGAAGACGCACATAGGTGTTGTTGGCTGCAGTTCTGACCTGTTAGCTGACTGCTTAATGAGTCAACTGAAGAGCAAATATTATGTTTGAATCTGTGCAAGAAATTTAATTGAAGAAATATACAGGAGAAATAAATGAAACAAAAATATAACTAGGAAAAATGGAAACAAAAATGATAGTGTTGATACAGTTTAAAGGTTAAAACAGCCTTAAAACACTCCTAGATCATGAAACAGTTTATTTATATCTTGTGCAATGTCAAGCAGCAGAGAATATCAAAGTATAATGATTGCTGGGTAAAAAGATGACATATCATAATCATATGGATTAGTTTAAAGGGAAGAGAATGTATGTGTTTAGTGAGCCGAGCAATACTGTACGTAAGAAGGACTTGGTACTGATCATGTAAAACATCAGTAACACTACATCAGTCCTAGTTTTAGTTTCCAAGGGAACACCAATTTAATTTATTAATATCTGGAAAGGGCACGTTTATAACACTGCTGCTGGGCAAGGGGAAGAATCTTTGATTGTACTGCACTGTACCAGGAGGTTCAATGTAAGAAGGACTTTGTGCTGCATTTATTTTATTACTATTGGTTTTATATTAGATGTGCTGCAAGCTGTAATGTAGGGCTTAATTGTCCTAATTAAAGTGCCTAAGAGCTATGTTCCATCAAACAAACCTTAGCAACTATTTTTTATAATTAAGCGATTGATCTGGGTGAATTTCGTTTTTAACCTTGTTTTTGAACCGTCTTGTATTGAACATTGCTCTACCCCGGGGCTATTTTTCTGTTTGTTTTTCTTTCTGTTTGTTTTTCTTTCATTACTTTTTTCCATACTTGTTTGTTTCTCACTTTAGATGTATTAAATCATTGATGTTTTTTATTGATCAGATCCACAAAGATGGTAATAGCTTAGTATTTAATATTTATTAATGTTTGAGCTCAGAGTAACGTCATTTATGTGCAAATTAGAGACATTTTTTTTTAAATTTTACGATTATCACAATTAATTTGTATTAAATATTTGCCTTTTTTCTTCTATTTGGAAAGCTGTTTGACAAAATGTGTTTGTTTCATGAAAGAAACAGATGGTCACATAATGTTCTTAATTTTATCAGCAAAAATAGCTGGTGTTAAAATTGACAAAATCTGATAAGTCGTTCTAGATCAAAGTTGTAAGGGCCAAGGCGGACCCTGTAGAACTCCTATCCAGAAAGGAAACTTGACATGTGACGTACTTTAATCTCTTTGGATCGGTTTAAAAGGAATGATTTGACAAAAATCGACCACTTTTGGATTAACAATAAATTCTATTCTTACAACACTACAGTCACTGATTTTGTGGGGAAAAAAATGTTTTTAAGCATTCAAGAAATAATATAACTTTCCGTAGATTACAAAAGCTTTTCGCTATTCATGAGAGTCGCGGAGACCGGTAGGCTGAAATCTACAATTTTCTCTTTTTCTTGTATTTAGAGAAATATTGAAGGTATAATAAACTCTTTGAAATATATGTATACCTATTTTTTCATGTTATACCAGGCTTCGCGAAACTGCTGAAAAATTTGCCTGACATTCGGTCAGACAAACTTTCAATTCTTGTCTGACCGAAAGAACTTTTGTCTGACCAAATTTTTCCCCCCAAATATATGTATATGGTAATACCTTGGTGTTTTTTTTAAAGACATAACAACTTTTAAAGATTTGCAACACAATTTTATTCCCTTAAATAAAACATTAGTTTATCCAGATTGATGCATGGACTCACAGGTGCTAGTCACATATATTCAAATATTTTACATAACCAGTCTATATATGTATATAAAGATATATACTATATAGCCCATATAAAACTTTAAAAAGTTTGTTTCAAGCACCTGTGGATGGACTCTGTTTGGAAATCAAAACATTCATGATCAAAGCGGCCATTTTTCCATTTACCCACAAATTTTCTCGGCGGGCGCCTGTACTCGTATTCCTTTTGTTTCGCTTTTTTTCTTCATTGGATAGTTTACGATTTTTGCCGGGCGTAGCGCCAGCGTAATAATGTATCCACATGTCATACTGCCAGTTTTCAATCACAACCACTTTTCAATCATCCCTAGAATTTTTCTTATTTTTGACCTTATTTGTCATGTAACCAAACTGTAAGCACATCTTGTATTTACCTTGACTACATTTATTAGCAGCAATGTCAATTATGGCGATAAAAAAGAAAATGCTAGCATTTTAGTTCAAAATATGTAAAATGTGTGTTTTCCACTAATCCTTTATTTACCCAGTTACAAATCGCAATAATTTTCTAAAAATAATTGACTTACAGACTCAGTTTTTTGTCATTCTGCAGAAATGGATATTAAGTTGGACAACTGTTTCAATATCATGAAGTCATAATGTCTACTGCACTTTGAAAGCTATTATTTTAATATGTACATATTTTACCATACAATTCTTAATTTAAAGGTAATACGTCAGTAAAGTAACAGTAACTTAACCAAGGAAAAACATTCTCTCTGATAACTTTTCAGTAAGCTTTCACTAGAATGGGGTCATACTCATATAGACCCTAAGATCCTAAAAATTTCTCAAGAACATGCTTTCTCTGTTATGCAAATTGAAATGTACATCCATACCCCAATTACGACAGCTTTACCACTGCAAATAGATATCTAGATTGAAAAATGGCATTATAATTAGGTTACAATTGTTTATTACCATTTATCTGAAGTTGAGTTTGTCAAAATTTCTCCATAATACATAACTGATTATATTTTAACATTGTATGACAATTTTTATGTGGTACAGCTTATATTTTGTTAACTGATTGAAAAGTGGTTGTGAAATTTTGAAGAACAGGAAAATGGGTCAGTAATGATTTGTCCTCGATTCATAATAATAATTCAGGTAATTTTTTAAAAAGTTGGTGCATTTATTAGCTAAAATGATAATATTCGCAGAATTGAAAGAGATTTTTTTTAAATATAATTTCACTGTCAGTTATTGTAAAAAAATCTGTTAGCTGATCGGAAAGAGGCAGTACGGGGATAGTAACACCGACATTTTGGTTATTGACAGTCGTATGTATCGGACACTTATAATGAAACGGCGAATCAAAACTCATTTTACATTTTTTTATTCAAGGGAGAAAACTTTGTCTTGATCGGTCTTGGATATATCCCGGTATTCGTACCGGACATAAGGTCCGGAACTCCGAAAAAAATATCGGACCGGCCTGATATTTGCCGGACATGTCCGACGGTCCGGCAACTTTCGCGAAGCCTGGTTATACACCTTTCTTCACAATGGGTGCTTGTATGATATTGCAATGGGACTCTGTTTCTGTAATGTCACCTAAATTCGCGACGTAAAAAATAAACTTTTCATTTTGTTATTCCAATTTTATCGAAAAAATGACCATTTTTAAAAGAGTTTTATAGAGTTATATACTATAGTTCTGTATTTAGTATGTCTATACTCCAGCAGGAATCACTCATTATCAGGTTATCAGTTGATAGAAGAGTCTTACTTTCACTTTGAGTGCAAGTTCTCACTTTGAAATATTTTTGCTTCTGGGCAAAACACGCCATATCAAAATTACCCAAAAACCATTGGCATGCTAAATTAAACACTTAAGTCATCTTATGAAAACATAAATTTTGATCTCTTCATGAACAAAAGTAGAAAATAAAGACCTATTAACAAAATAAACTGTGACAATGATATTTGTTAATTCATGATGAAATCCTTCTATTTAATTAAATTCCTTATACAACCGAAAAACAAATGGTCGTCACACAGTGAGAGAAACGAACGAACCAAATATTTGCCCATGCACCATCAGTGTGTACAATTATATTTATCCGTTCAAAAATTTAGAATCAATCTGTAAAGTGCATCACTTAAACAGTATGGCAGAAAGGCAAAAATAGATTGTTGTTTATACTTTATTTTAAATTGATTAAATGTGAAGGCCATTTGTTTATTGACTGAATAAGGAATTCAATTAAATAAAAAGACTTAAACATGATTTTTAGGATGTGAGAGTTTAATTACTTTGTTAAAAGGTAATTAAAAAAAGTGAAAATATCTCAAAGCAACATCATTTATAGGACTACCTGTTAGAGGTACAGGTACTGTTCCCCTAAAACAGAGAGAGAGCCCTGATAGTTTATACTTTTTTTGCAGCAAAGTCCAAGACTTGGGATTTAAAAAGCTTTTGAACTTAGGAAAGGGTCAAAATGTCAGGTTTTCCCACCAGTAAGGGTGATGAATATATCAAATAAAAATGTTCAGGGCTTTCTCTCAGAAATGTTTATGGGTGTTATGATTGCATTTACTAAATAGGGATATTTTTCAATATTTAGGAGTATACTTCAACAATCTTTTGGCATGCATATATACATGTATTTGACAGGCAATTGGTTTAAATCTGTTAATTCTAGATTTTCATTATCAAACCTTAGTGTCTTATAATTATGTATTTATATTTTTAGACGATGTCAGTGACCCCAGCCCACAGAACAAGATGTTTCTTTGATGTTGACATTGATGGCCAAAATGGTATTGAAGTTATTTTCATTACTTTTAATTCCCATTACAGTAGACTTGTTTTGCAAGGTTGACTTATTTGCCCTCACTGAGTATCATCTTACTAGCAATATTTAGTTTTTTTACACCTGCAACATTTAACTAGATTATGTTGATGCATGAAATAAAGCATGGCATAAGGGCTATTTACCTCTATTTTAATCTTGAAACTAGAGCTGTTCGACAGTAAGCAGATAAATATGAAAGCTCAATGTCTCTGTGTAATTTAATCTCAAAGAAAACATTAAATAGTTCTTGCAAAAAAATCATTTGACTATATTTTATAAAAATAATAAAATTCAGTTAGAATAACACCATATTAAATAATATTTCTCTTTTTCAGCCGGCAGAATTGTATTTGAGTTGTACTCAGACATCACACCTAAAACCTGTGACAACTTCAGAGCATTATGTACAGGTATGTGTTTTCTCTAACAAACTTCTTGTTTAAGATATTACAAGATTTTTGGTTGCTCCTGAGAGGTATTGCCATAGAACAGTTAGATTTATTGAGAATGTTCAGGATCGAAAATCCCACTCGTCCGCTCGTAATTATGAGTAGAATGCATGACGAGTAGACAAAGTTACACATCTTGTTCGCTAGTAGTGAAGAGTAATGAAGCTAAAATAATGATCTGATTTTAATGAGATTGCAGTACTTGTGCCAAATGAGGAAACATGATCATGACCCTAGTAGGGCTTGAACCCATGGTCCCTGGTTTGAGATGCAGATGCCTTAACCACTGGGCCACCTCTTCTTACTTATAAAGTCACTTTTAAGTCACTTATGTGACAAGCTGTTTTTAGCTCGACTTTTCTATGAAAAGGGGAGCTATCCTACTCGCCCCGGCGTCGGCGTCGGCGTCAGCGTTGGCGTCACACCTTGGTTAAGTTTTTCGTACCACCCCACTTTATTTCAGAAGTATTACAAGTATGGCTTTGAAACTTACCATACTTGTTCACCATCATAACCTCCATCTACAGACAAGAGTACATAACTCTGTCAAGGTTTTTGACAGAATTATGGCCCTTTTTTAGCTCGACTTTTCTATGAAAAGGGGAGCTATCCTACTCGCCCCGGCGTCGGCGTCGGCGTCGGCGTTGGCGTCACACCTTGGTTAAGTTTTTCGTACCACCCCACTTTATTTCAGAAGTATTACAAGTATGGCTTTGAAACTTACCATACTTGTTCACCATCATAACCTCCATCTACAGACAAGAGTACATAACTCTGTCAAGGTTTTTGACAGAATTATGGCCCTTTTTTGACTTAGAAAGTGTATTGAGCTTGGTTAAGTTTTTTGTACCACCTCACTTTATTTCAAAACCATTGGAGGTATTGCTTTGAAACTGACCATACTTGTTTACCATCACGACCTTCATCAACAGACAAGAGGACATAACTCTGTCAAGGTTTTTGACAGAATTATGCCCCTTTTTGACTTAGAAAATACATTGAATATGGGTAAAATCCACTTATTGCCTTAACCCTTTGAGATATTGCTTTGAAACTTTTAATGCTATTTCACATCATTACCCCCATCTGTACGCAAGAGAAGGTAACTCTGTCAAGGATTTGTTTTAAAAATTAAGGCCTTTTATCGACTTAGAATCTTGGTTAAGTTTTTAGTACCAGTCCACTTTTTGACTGAACTGTTTGAGATATTAATTTGAAAGTTGGAATACTTGTTTACAATCATGATTCCCAAACATGTCCAGGAGAAGGTAATTCTGTCAAAGATTTTATTTGAATTATGGCCCTTAACTGTCAATGTTTTGTATTATAGGCAAGCACTAAAAAACTTAAAAAATCTAAAAAAATTCATTCCTATCCACTGAACCTGCAGTGTTCAAGGGTATCACACAATTCAGTAAAATAATTCTTCACTAAATATCTTAATGCTCATGGCCATTGTTCACTTTAAAAATACAGACATTCTTGTATTGCCTTTTACTGCAAAAACTTTTTTTATTGGCAAGCAATAAAAAAGTCGAGCGCGCTGTCTTACGGACAGCTCTTGTTTGTTTTGTTTTTAAAAATGAGGCTAGAATTAAAAGGTATGAATTTGTTGCAGGTGAAAAAGGTGTGAGTGAAAAGAGTGATCTGCCCCTCCACTATCGTGGCGCCCCCTTTCATCGTATTGTAAAGGACTTTATGATTCAAGGCGGTGATTTTACAAAAGGTAAGTTTCTTTTATTCACATTGATATATAAGGATTATTTAACCAGTAACTCTAAAATTATCAAAATATGTATGAAAAGTTTTTTGAATAGTGAAAAAGTGTATCTTATGTATCACAAATATTTACTTGAATTTTTTCTAAAGAAGAATTTTGAATTTCAAAGTCTAGTCAGTTTTCCTACTGGAGAAGAAGTAACAAGATATGTCATGTTTTCTGAAAGTTGCCCAACTGTAACATGTGAAGCATATCTGGTACCTATTTTCTTGAGCGATCAAGAGGAATAAAGTGTTTATCTTTCTGATGGAAATTTGGTGGAACTAATCTGATTGGTTCAACAAATTTTTTTCTATGTGTATCTGACATAATATAAGTTTACATGTAATTCCACAAAGCTTGCTCTTTTTTGGTTGTTGGAAATTTTCTGTCAGTCTATCCAGTAAAATTTATTTCTGAAAAAGGTTAATGTAGTTTGTGCTAATGTGGTAATCATATTTTTTTGCAGGTGATGGAACAGGGGGTGAATCTGTATATGGAGGGCAGTTTCCAGGTTTGTAAATAATTCTTTGAGCATTAACGCTATTTTTGAGAAATATTTTCATGATTACTTTTAATGTCATACTGCATTTCAGTAACTTTTTTGTCTCTCAGCAGTTACAAGAGTTTGCATATATGGCTAGAAAAATATATGGCTAGAAGGGGGGACTTACAACACAGTATAAGTCATATCCTTTCGACGGCCATAGCATAATAAAACGTACCGAAAAATCGACTTCTCAAAAGCCGGGCGCTATAGTCATAAGAAGGCTATAACGTAATAAACCGGTATAAAATTTTGGCTTCCTGAAAGCCACTACTGTTTTGCCGTAGGAAGGGCACCAAAATTTAGTTTTAAATGACTAAATTCTTGAAGTTTACCTTTCATTTATTTCATTCTGTTAAATGTTGTTCAAATAAAAACACCAAATATGTTAATTGTATAGTGCCCTTTATTGACAGATATAGTAAATGTTTAGATATACAGTACACTTTTTAATTAATGAGGTAATCAAATCGATATCCAAATTAATTGAAGAAAATCTTCTAAATGGTATAGTATTTTAAAATGCATTTATTCATACATAAAACGGAGTTTCTGTAAGCAGTTCTCTTATTTGAAACAAAAATAAGTTGAACTTACTAAATTCACGTTGAAATGCATAGTATCAATCACCCTTCCTGAGAAAAATTGATTTTCATTGATTTTCAATAATTACGTTTTAAAACGTTGTGGACGTTTTACTCAACAGGGTATTCTAATGGGCTATATCGGTAAATAACGTAAAATTTACCGTTTTAAAACGTTCAGAACTTGTTTTGATAAAACAAGGATTGTGAGTCTGTTTATTGCAGTTGAACGTAATATTAACAGTGTTATACGGTATGGCTTTGTTGTTTATCGTAACCAGTTGAACAGCCATAGCGTAATATTTTGATTTTTCATAAACACATTAAAAAACCAGAATGTACGAAAACGAGGTTTTTACGGGTTTGCATGACACAAAATTCAAGTTTTACGCTGATTTACGCTACGGTTTCTAGAAAGGTATATTTTTGATACGTTTTACTACGCTATGGACGTCAGGTCGTAAAATAAGACTGGCTTTCAGAAATGTAAAAATTCGATACGTTTTCTTACGCTTTGGCCGTCCTACGGGTATAGCGGATGGCCGTCGAAAGGATATGGCTACTTTCCAGCTTTACTAATGAAGGGAGACCTCAGGTGCCATTCTGAACATTATAATAGGCACGAATGGGCACCAAAGTAGAACCACTGACGTTCGATAAGCTAGCTAGATAGTTTCTTTAAATGTTGAGAATTAATCCAACAGGGGTAAGGGGCAAGTGATTTGAAGTTTACGACCGTAACCACTTGGCCATGGATGCCCCTACGGTTGGAAGTAACCTCAGAAGAAGAACTTGTACAAATATATATGTACTATTATCCAGGAACATGTGTTAAGTAATTGGCGGTTGTCACATGGCTGAAATAAAGATTGAACTCTCAGTGATAAATAGTGAAATGTTTTTACTTGATTTTTAGATGAGAACTTTGTAGAGAAACATGGTAAAGAATTTTTGCTATCTATGGCAAACAGGGGTAAGGACACTAATGGATCACAATTCTTCATGTAAGTGTTAAATTTCATTTTTTTGAAATGTGATATTTGTTGTGTGTGTTTGTTGCTAGAGCTCATAGAAATTGATGGACTTTGGAAGGATAGCATTGGTCTAGTTATCTGGCTATCTTTAAAGAGTTATCTTCCCTTCAGTTTCTATGGTTTTAAAGATACCCTATGCAGGTAGGCTGTTTTCTTAAGAAATGGATGCTGTCCAGTCATTAATTACTTTGTAGGTAAAAGATAAACAGAATCCTTCTGTTAATACATCAAACAATTTAACATAAGCCAAAACAAGTATTGACAGTGTAGTAACAAAGTAGAAAGTTTGGTCAATTGTACATTATTTTGTGTCAAAGAAAGTTTGGTAACCCCTGCATTTGGTTTACAAGCTTTGCTTTATCCAGAGTTAGTTCCCTTGATTAATTTGATAGTTCCCTTGATAAATTTGATAGTGTTTGGCAGATAGATGGCGCTATCAAAAATCATGGTTTGTACATACAATGACCCCTATGTCATACAGTTACATTTAAACTTGCCAGTACATAAATTGTGATTAAAAAGCAACAATCAAGACTTGCATTTAACAGGTGAGTTTAAAGTAAGAAAAAGTTAATTGTGCAAAATTGCTAAGGTACATTATTAAACTAAAGGTAAGTATCTAGCAAAGTTGGTAACAGAATCTTCCTTTACTATTTTTTATCAAGCTTTTTACAAACTTTTTTTTGTATCTTTTAAAAGAAAACTGCATTTTCGCAATAGTAGAAAATTCTTGCATTTTTCTTTTTTTAAAATGTTGTTTTTTCCTTTGGTTGAACTTCTTTTTTTTTCATGTGTATCACTGATGCTGTTTGGTACAAGAGGCATTGAACCGTCCTCGTGAGATAGCTTAGAAATATTGAAAGTAGATGATTCTACCCAAGTGTGGCGTGCCTATACATACCACAAATATTGCACAAAAGCCTATGGGAATATAACCATCCAAAAAAAAAGTGTATACTTCCCAAATATGCTCTTAAACAGTGTTTTTAACAGCAAATCAGTTTCATATTTTGCTTATAAAAAAAAAATGAAAGTAAAAAGGGCGTTTGTTTTCACATTTTTATCATTTTATACTTACATATAGAGAGGTGTAGCAGTGTGGGATGACACCGCCAGGTAACTGTTTCAGGGCAACAAGAGAATATCATTTGCATAAAAAAATTATCATTCACCATTTTATATATAACTTTAATCTTCTTTTCCCGACAGTTTCAAATGGTGAAAGCAATTCCTAAATGACTGTAAAAGTGTCAGTGTTATTTACAATTGTTTTATACAATTTATATATTTTTTTCGAAATACCATTGACCTTTGAATTATAAAATATACTACCGTAATTTATTAATGTCCTTGCTTGATTTTCAATTATAGGTGAAATTATTTTTATAATATTTTAAGTTTTATTCTTTGATAATACCTTCACATGTTATCAATTTTTGTGATCTTTTGATATGCCTATCCTTGGCATGACACATTTAATAATGGCCAAATTTCGTTTTTGTATTTTTCATATTGCCGATCAATAGAACTACAAAGCCTGCTCCTCATTTAGATGGGTATGTATTTTCATATATTTATTAACAAGACATCTATTCTTGTAGCCGTATTTAATTCCCATAGCAGTATTTATTTGCTTTCCCCTTAGGGGTTGCCTTTAAGGGTTGAGGCATCAGAAATGCATGCAGCCACTGTTTATCCCTGTGTGATCATAAGAGACGACTAAATGAGCTTTTCCTCTCTGGCGTTGGTTTGATCCCCGGGATATGCTTTGGTAGTTTAGCACGGAGAAAGGTAGTCTATTACTGGTGTAACTCTCCAGGAACAATGGTTAGGAAACTACCTGCCTATATGACCGAAATACTGTTGGGAAAAGGCGTAAAATGAAACAAACAAACAAACAAAACTAAATGAACTAGAAATTACTAGAGTCTAATGCATCTATTAACTCCAGCAGGTGAGGTGGTTTTGTCCCCTGGTGTTACTTTTAAGTTTGTAACATTCTAGGTTAGCCATAATAATCTTTGCTGCTTCAGCGCCATATGACATAAATTGTGTAAAACCAAACCAAGCAAAGACATATACTTGCCTATTTGAAGAAACACCTAAGAGGGGGATGTAAATTTTAAATTCAACTCACCAGTTTTGTTTTACATGCTTTGAATAATTTTGCTCTGTATGTAAGCTGAGCTATTACTCTTACCTTGCTAACCAACCACATGATTTATTAATCATCCATGAGAGACAAATGACCGTTAAACTCAATGTCTGAGATCAAATTACACAGAAAAGTTTTGTCTGGTCCAAGGTTTGAACCACATACCCTTTGATTACAAAACTGATGCCCTCCCTATCGAGCTATGCAGACTGACATTAATTGATTTAAAAAATATGTAAATGATTAATCATCACAAACTTTTTATTAGTCATTGTATCTCAACCAAACCCATGCATTAAAATATACTTTAGAATATAATCTATTTCAGTAAACATGTAGTATTCGGTCAGGTTGTCAGCGGTCAGGAGATTGTCAAACAGATAGAAAACCTTGATACCGACAAGAAAAACCGTCCACTTGTCCCCGTAACAATAGCTAACAGTGGAGAGTTGGTATTACAGCCTAAAGCAAAAGGTAATAGTATTTCAGGCAAAAGAATATTCTTCTAGGGAGTTTCTCCTAAAGATTTTTGTGGATTTTTTTTTTTTACAAACATCTCTTGTTATTGAAATTTATATATTGTTGTGCGGCATTTTTAGCTTGTGTTTCGAAAACAAAGATAAGCTATTATGATCAATGTGTTATCATTGTGCAAAATCGTTACTCAATCAATTTTAAAGGTATCTGTAAAAATTATGGAATACATGCTTATAATGACAAGAAACAGTTGTAAGACAAGGGGCATAAGTCTGGAAGTTATATTTTTGGAGTAATGCCCCTTTTTGACTTTTGTCAAATTTTTGTCAAAAGAGGTTGTTTTAACAGACGAGCATTAAAATGCGCTGTTTTTGTTTTTCAATTTATTTAGTTTCATGAAACAAGTCATTGACCAAGTCCTGAAACTTATGAATGAGCATGAATATTGACACTGTAAATTGTATATATTTTATAGGTAAAAAAAAGAAAAGCGTTGCTGAGTCAGAAAAGGAGTCTGATTCTGCAGAGTCAAGTTCTGAATCTGATTCTAGTGACTCTGAACAAGAGAAAAAGAAGAAGAAAAAGAAGAAAAAAGAAAAGAAAAAATCCAAGAAAAAGAAAAAAGAGAAGAAAAAGAAGAAGCAAAAACAGTCTAGGTAAAACCAATGATACTGAATTATAGTTTAGATTTTGTAACACTCGTCCTGCCAACGCATTTGGGTTTTTTCCATTAGTGGAGGCTATCAAGCTAGCTTAAGGAAGGTCGTAATTGTTCCTCTCTTCAGGTTGCCTGCTTGTGCCTGAAATAATAGTGCAGCTCAAGATGAAATATTTTTAGTCTAGAAGATAAATTACTTGAAGTTGTAGTTCAGAAGTTGAAATATTATTGCTAAAGTGTAGTAGATGAAATATTTCTATCTATTGTTCAGTAGATAAAATATTTCCTTTTATAGTTAAGAAGATGTAATGTTTACTTATTAAAGTTCAGAAACTGTACTTTTTCTAGGGTACAGAAGATAAAAAGATTCTATTTGTAGTTTAGAAGATGAAATATTTCTATTTATAGTTTAGAAGATGAAATATTTGTATTTATTGTGTATAAGATAAAATACTTCTAATTTTAGTTCAGAAAAGATGTTATATCTTTTTATAGTTCAGAAAAGATGGATATATCTATTTATAGTTCAGAAGATGAAGGGGAGATCAAGAAAGAGGAAGAATCTAGTACAGTATATGGTAATATACGTCCTGAGGAAATACCAGATGTTCCTAGTAACAAGTTTCTGTCTAGGGATAGGCAAGACATGGATCAGTGAGTTAATTTTGTTCAAAGTGGTATATCTCAAGATTCTGTTGTGTTTTAATTTATTGGTCAAAATATTACCAGAAATTATGCAGCATTTACCCCTACTGATACTATATATTTTTCAGTTTTTGTTCAGCTTGCAGCTAAATTAAATTATTTTTGTATAATCATGCTATTATTATCATTATAGGTTTTTTTATTTGGGTTCAATATCATAATTATATTCCTTTATTCCGTACTTGTGTTTTAAAGGGGAATGGAGGCCTATAGGTTAAGATGTCTTCCACTCAGTCCGGAGATTGTGGGTTAAAGCCCTGATATTGTCACGACCATGTTTCTTCATATGACTCAAGTATTGGTTAGTTTCAGAAAGTGGACTCGAAAGTGATCTATAGAAGTTGCATGAATTAAACAAATATATTTATACTAAACATAATTATAATCATATTTAATTGAAACAAAATTTTTCTTTTCTTTATAATTAAAGACAATTTACTTATGTAAATCTTTTTCTCACATGGCTTAACAATTATTCTCTCGTTTTAAGACCTGGCAAAGAGAATCAGAGAGACCAGTCAAGGTCAAGGATACGATACACGTCCAGCGGAGATAAGATTAAGGGGAGAGGAACTATTGTAAGCTCATTAAAATATGTTATACAGTAAAACCCATGTAGAGCAACACCCTTTGGGAGACAAATGTATTGGTTGTTTCTAAGAGGTGTTGCTCTACAGAGGTAAAATATAGTGGAAGTCTTTAATTCTGGAAGAAATAATAGTGTTGTTTTAAAGAGGTAATTGCTCTACAGAGGGCCACTCTGTAGGGGTTATACTGTAATTTTAATAGCTTTTTCATGATCAGAGTAAATGATCAGAGTAAAGGTCAATTTATAGAGTATTAAGAGTTAAGACTTTTGATTTGTGAGATCCAGTCTTACTGTTAAGCCTTCTTCACAATAGTATCCCGAGAGCTGTTAATAACTCAGCAGTGACATTTTGCTTGAAGATAGTCTGACTACATTTTGTTCTAAACAATACGTAACATAACATATAAGTTTTCGCAATAATAACAGAAAATAACAGTTACTGATACTGCAAAAAAAGAGATCATATTAATAGTTTGATTCTTTTCTGATATCATTTTTTCAGTACATCTTTGGTGGGATTTTCTTTATTCATGATTTATTTTTGTCTATTTTGATTTTTCCCCCTTGTAGCGTTTTCACAGAAGTTGGAGTCGAGAAAGAAGTGCCACTCCACCACATTGGCGCAGAGAGCAGCAACGTGCCAAACCAAAGGGGCAAGACAATAATAGAGAGGCTCAAGGTCAAGGCCGGTGGGAAAGAGGTGATCGCATGGAGCGAGAACAGCCACCAAACCGAAGAGGTGACCGTATGGAAAGGGACCAATTGGATCGCAGAGGAGAACGCATGGAGCGAGATCAACAAGATCGTCGGTTTAGGGAAGACAGACCTAACAGGGCGGAGTTGAGGGACAGGTTAGGACGGAGGGAAAGAGAAGGAAGAGGGCAACTAGATTTGAGAGATAAGTTTCAGCGTGGTAGAGATAGGAGCAATAGTGACAGGTAATCATTTATTATGGTAATCATTTATTATAAGTTTGTGTGTTAATGACATCTCTTATTTAAAGGAACTCATTGAGGTTTTTTGACATGACATGACTGGAAATAAATCTTTGAGATTAATGCTCCATTTGATGATGGTCCAGACAAGTAACTTGTGCTCAAAATTTCATGTCTGTTTTTTCCAGAATAATCATTGCATCGTGTTACACACAAATCAACCTAAGAATAGCACAAAAATACAGTTTTTAATATTTCTGAGTATATTTCTTAATTTTCTTTTCCATATCTTTATAATTGCCCCTGTTGATTTTTGTAAGAAAGTCAAATTTATGGTTTTTTTTACCTCAGTGATGTCCCTTTAACAAATGTCAATTTTTATGATTTTCTGGGGTTTTTTTGTGATATGTCAGCAATATATTATTCCAAAAGAGGGCATCACCTTTTTACAGACAATAAGTTTAATTCATGAAGTTATTAAGTCTGTCTCCTACTTGACATAATTTGAAATACCACGTTTTCATCATGGTGCATGGTTAAAATTTGAATATAAACAATCATTTGAAAATCAAATGAAAACACAGCAAATCCATTGCACAGTTTCAGCTCATCTAAGAAGCAATTGATAAATCCCTACTTTTACCTTTTAATTTGAATAACAATAGATTTAACCACAAAAATTGACATGTGCTCTTTTGTTAACAAATATGTTATGGTGAAATTCATTAATCTGATAATTAAGAGATCTATGCATAGCCTTCCTGTTGAGGTTATGTGTAATTATATGTTTAATACTTGGACTTACACAGAACCAGATATTAAAATGAATTATTATTTTACTTCTAACATATAGTGAAGGAGAACAAGCAAAGGGGCAAAAGAAGAAAGATAAAAGTACTATTATAATGGTATTTTGTTTCATTATGTTAATTTTACTTACTTAACAAATTAAATCATTAATCTTAACCTTTCCCTGTGCAGTGGATTCTACCCATGCGACCAGTGCAGTTTAAGGTCAGGAGTACCATCTGATCATGGTCTGCACTGTTCCTTTTCTAGTCAGTACTAATTTTTAGGTTTTCTCAAATCACAATAAAAGATTTTTGTCCTGATTAAAACATGGACAAGTTTATTTGAGATATTTGGTATGGTAAGGGTTATATTTATGTTGTAGTGATAAAACAACACAGTTTGTTAGGATTACACTTGTATGATATCTTTCTAACGTCACACATTTTATTATGATTTGACATAAAATGCAAACGGTTGAATTTTTGTCTGTTTACATATCAAGATATATTAAAATGTATGCTTGTGATTTCTAAACTAACAGTTTCATTTGATATTTCTGTTTGATAGTTTGTTGAATTGCAATATTAAATATAACATAAGAATTGCTTTTCAACTAATACAAGTGGCAGCCTGGCCGAGTGGTTAACGCGTTGGACTAGTAATCTTAAGATTGCTGACCGTGTGGGTTCAAACCCTGTCAAGGGGCAAGCCGTTGTTTCCTTAAGCAAGAAACTTTACATTCATTGCTTAGTACTGGTTGGTTCCAGGAACGGATTTGAGATTGTTTCAATAAGCTTATAAGTTATAGCTTCCAACACAATCAAACTAAAATAAATTTGTATAAACTAACTTATACAAATCAGGAAAAAAATGTGTAAATCTTCATTACCTGTTTAATTTCTAAAAGGGGAGGTAAATCTAGAAGAGATAGCAGCAGTGAGGGTTCAGATTTAGATGTTTCACAAAGAAATGGGATGGATTCTGGTCGTGGGGGCAATCGCGATCCAGAAAAGATTGATTTGAGAGACCGAATCCGGAAAAAACAGCCTGAAGAAGAACGTGTGCCAAGCAGACGTCACCAGGGCACTGATTCATCATCTGAAGAGGGTGAAATACACGATCGACGTCACAATGATGATCAAGAGGATTCGGAGTCTGAAACAGAAAAGCTTCGTAGAGCGGCATTAGCGTCACGCCTCACAAGAACAGTACAGCTGAAGAAAGGGTCTCCATCTCGCAAGGTACAAGTGAAGAGAGGCGATACCTCTGATTCAGAATCAGAGAAAGAAACCTTGAAGGGTAAGAAACATTCAAGGTCAAGTTCATCTGAAGATGAACCCAGGAGAAATGTGACAGTTTCAAGTAAATTGGTTGAACAAAAAAAGGCTTCTGTAGTAAGGGAAAGACGCCGAAAGTCTAGGTCTCCCTCTTCTTCACCAGAACGGCCTCCAAGAAAAAGAGGTCAAAGGTCGAGATCAAGATCACCAGTCAGACGCAGACGGTCATCTTCTGCTGCATCACCTGTAAAGACCAAAAGGTCAAAGTCAAAATCACCAGTAAGGAAACGTAAATCACCATCACCGATAAGGTCAAAGAGGTCACCTTCAAGGTCACCTGTGAGGAAGAGGTTACGGTCACCTGCTAGACGTCCATCTAGAAAATCTAGGTCAAGCTCTAGGGAGGACAAACGTAGAAATTCCTCAAGTAGTTCCAGAAGTAGGTCAAGGTCAAGAGAAGGAAAGCCTAGGAGGATAAGGTTTATATTTTAATACCCCATATTTTACTGAATATTTAGTATAAATTGAAACTAAATCCATTTTCTGTTGCATTACAAAACATCAGCCATTCTACTCAGTTGCCCATTGGTGCCTAAAATAATGCACAAAAGGGCACCTGAGGTTTTCCTCCACCAGTAAAGCTGAAAATTGCCATATGACCTATACTGTGTTGATGCAATGTAAAACCCACAAAAAAAATATAAAAAATAATTTAAGGCATGATAGTACTTTTTAGTGGATGATGAATTTTTTTAAATAGTTTATTAAGTTATTGTTTTGTTTAATATTTAATGTTTGATCTTTATGAAGTGTTTTTACCCTTTTATTATCAGCATATCTTTTTGTAAGGATTACAATACAACTTTGACACATTTCAGGGATCCTCCATCTGCCAAGTATGGCTTCAAAAGAAGGTCATCAAGTAGTTCTTCTAGGTCAAGGTCAAGGGGTCGATTTAGGTCAAGGTCAACTTCTCGGGACAGACGGAGAAGAAGTGACACACGCAGAGATAGGGGAATAGACAGAAAAAAACTGGAAGAAGCTGCAAGGTGAAATTCTATGTCCCTTTAGCTAGAAACAATTTTATTGATCAAACCTTATCTGATAATTATTCTCTCACCAAGTGCCCTTCCACATTGCATGGTTTTGTGAATTGTCATTTGGCATAACTATGGCCTTGTGTCCTTTTTGCAAATGAAATAGACAGATGAATAATCTTCTGTGTACAATCTTATATATTTCTGTAAGGATTTAAATCAAACCTTCTTGGACCTATTTTAATCAAGTGCCCTGTTGCATATTGTCAATGTTTTGGGATTGAAACATTAGATGAAGACTGGGAAATTTGGTTTTTGTCACAATTGCTTGCCACTTGTTTGAGTGCTTTTGTACTTACATACAATAAATCATTGCTACACATAGAAATGTACCAAAAATATGCAATAAAAAAATAGATACGAAATTGTCATTTACTACTTGTATCATTATAACTTTTCTGCATAAAAATTTATAAATAATCAATTTTGAGAGACCACTTTTTAACAATGACCACCTTTCAAAAATGACTACCTTTTGCAATTCATATTTTTTTTTCTTTTACACAAATTTGACATAAAAAAAAATAAAAAAAATAAAATAAAAAAAAATTAAAAAGATACATGCAAGCTTGACAGTTAAGAGTCTATATAAAAGTTTGTTTTTATTTGTATACATACAGAATGGCTCGCATAAAATCTGAGAGCCCTCCACCCACTCATTGGAAGAAAGGACAGAAACCATGGAAACCCAAGGGTCCAGAAGCTGATCAACAAAAATTGTAAGTTTTTTTTTAACATTTCCTAATTTTTACTGATACTTAAATTTCATAATTAGTGAGAAAGGATGGGACTCTGGCTACGCTGATAAAGTAGTTGATATTCATACCACTTGCTCATCAAAGCATGTGTTTTATAAACTTTTTAGGGAATTTTCTTTCTTTTCAGTTATTTGGCAATAACAGAAATGGTTTCTACTGTTTATGCTCTTGACTAAAAAAAGAAATGTGATTTACTATGTGCTGCCTTTAAGATAAAAATTGTGTTCTTTCCTATGTTGCTCTAACTAGGGTACAGAAAATTGGTTTACTTTTGCGCTTATTAAAGATAATGGAAAGTTTTGATTAACCCTTAAAGCCTCAGTAATGATAACTGTAATTGTGTTTTCCTTGCATGCTCTTGACTAAAAATAAAAAAAAGTATGTTTATGGTCTTTGTTTTAGCAATGTTTATGTTTCCATGTTCTTGACAAATAAATGAAAATTGTTGATTTAACTAGACTCTTGGCAAAAAATACGAAAAATGATGATTAGTATGTTTTTCTGAAAGGAATTTGAACAGTAAAAAGTAAAAATAAGAGTATTACCAAATTTCATTGAAACCTGATAGAATAAATGTTTCTTGATTATTCTTTTTACCATATACTGTTTACATAATACAAAAAAATTGGCATTTGAAGTTTAGTTTTCTTTGCTTAAACACCTCACATGTAGGGATCACAAGATGTTATTTTTATTGAATGTACATCTTCTACATTGCAGCCTTTGTAAAATCATAACAAAACATATTCTGATTCTACTTTGTTTTTACAGAGATAAAGCAGTACTACCCCCTGTTGCCCCCTATGTTGGTGCCAGTATGTCTGCTGCATCAGGGGAGATAGATGTCCTTCAAATGTCAAGGTCACCTGTGTCAGAGGTCAAAGGTAATTGTATTTATATACCATGTGTGTTATAGCAATTGCTGATCTTCAAATGTTATTAAAAGTCTTGCTAAGTGTTTTATACTTTCAAGTTACTCTTAATTTAAATCATGATACATGTAATTTAAATCATGATTGAACTGCCTTATATTTTTGGTAGCGCTATTTTCATTGAAGTTTGTTTAGAATCAACATAGGAAATAAATAATAGATTATATGTTTCTCAGATATTCTTATAAGAACAGTTTCATTATGTTGACCACTGGTCCTCCTTTCCTCTGTTGTTATAGTTTTGTTGAGTAAAAAATCAGTTGTTTTCATCCAAAGAGTAACTTGAAATAAACCTATATATTTAGATTTTTGAGCTAAATATTGAATATATAATTATTTCTTATAGATCAACTGGCTGGTTCCCCTCAAAAACAGGAAAGCAAGTCTGATGTTCTCCCAGTGAAGATACAATATCACCTTGATGACCCAAATGTCAAAGCTCGACCAATCATTGTCTCTGAAAAGAGAACAAAACCTAAAAGGTCAAGGTCATTGAGTAGTGATAGTTCAAAATCTAGGTCATCTAGAAGTTCTGTGTCTTCAAGGTCACGATCAAGGTCAGTGGATAATAGTGATTCTGAAACGGAGGAACAACGAAAAGAGAAAGAGAAGAAAAAAGTTGAGGTATATATGTTGTTCATTGGAAATTAATTATAGAGAAGTTATTTCTTACCTTAGTGCACAATTTATAAATGCTGCTAAAAGAGCTGTGAGATATTGGTGTAAAATACTCAAACTAATGTGATAGGATACAAAAAATTTGACTAAAAAAATGATTAAGGTATACTGTGTGCATACTTTAAGAAAATACATAAAAGCTATAAAGGTATGAGTAACAACATAAGTGAATACATTTGTAAATAATGATGTATTTGGCAAGATAAATTATGAACCAAGTTTTATTGGAGTTACTATTATTATAGATGGGCAAATGTTATCATAGGTATTTGAGTGAAATTTTACTAAAAGAAAATAAACTGACAATGCTTGAGTATCATAGTAAATGCTTCATTACTTAATATACAAAACATTTATAGGAGAATATGAACTAAGTTCAGATAAAAAAAAATTTGGGTACATGACCGAGGCAATATTTACATTTATATTTCAGGAGAGGATAAAATGGCAGCCACCACCAGACCCCGATGATATTGACAAAGACGATCATAGTCCTGTATCCCCAACAAAAATGAGTGTAAGTAAATTATTTCATTATAAAAAGGTGCACTGTATTGATAAAAATCACCACACCTTGATAATGTCTAGGTTTTAACTGGGTTCAAAAGGTTAAATATATAGAATTAGAATTCTTTACACAGGTCAACATGGGATTTGAAACAGAAAGATATGCAAAATATATTGAAGAAATGTACTTCGAATAGATTGAGAATACTTTAGCCCGATATAAGTGAAAAGCATAATTTTGAATTTCTTACATATATTTGCTGGTGTACTTTATACAGAAAGATAGGCAAAAATAATTCAAAAAAATAAATTATAAATGCTATTTTTGTACTTTTCTTAGCTTGATATGATGGAAAATTTGCCAAGCTGAAAATTTGCCAAGCATTTCAATTTTTGAAATGGGAATAATGATTCTTGAAAAACAGAATGAGCTAATGATCTGAAATTTTGCACACAAGTTATTGGTCTAGACCTACATCATATGAAACTTTCATCTTGAAAAAATAATTCCAGTCCTGTCATGTCAAAAAACCTCATTGGAGTCTCTTCTGATTATTTATCCCATTTTGGCAAATTGCCGCTAGTTTTTATATACATATGAGCCGCGCCATGACAAAACCAACCTCCATGCTAGTCGCAAACCCATTATGTTGGTTTTGTTATGGCGCGGCTCATATAACAGATTATACAGTCTAAAATTGACATTTCTAAGAAAAATCTATTACTTTTATAATGATGAATAAATGTACATTTTAGGTTGCCGTGGATGTTGATGAAGCTAGTAGGTCTTCTCTCAAAACTCCGCCTCTACCCAAGATAGCTGAAGTCGCTGAAGCTACCTCGGAATTAGCCAGGTATCTTAAGACATTTTACAATCTGACAGTTTGTGGTAAAGAAAAGCTTATGTTACTAAAAATATTCTTGCAGTTTTGAACAAATAGCTGAAATCTACCAATGTTGATTTATTAAAGACGTTTTTGGGAGTTTTCATATAGACATATAGGCAAAATTAAAACTGTTTAATGGAATTTCTTAAAACTTGGCATGTTGTTAGAATATGATAATAGAAACATTTTAAACAGAAAAATTCCTGAAAACGTCCTTAACATGGCCTAGAGAAAAATCTGGAAATTTAATTTGCGCATGTCATCTTGCAGCATGAAATAATAATAAAGTATCACTATTATGAATTTCTACTCATTTTTAATCATAATAATATTATATCTTAAGCCTAAGATTGTTTTCATTTAACAGGAAGATGAAGGGTTCGCATGAAAATTTGGCTGCATCAAAATTAACACTTTTAGCTTATATAATAACTCTAAGTCAATTATAAGTCATTTTTGAGTGGAAGTGGCTATGTTATAACCAATTACAGTAGTGGAATGTCTACAACCTGACAAGTCTATATGCTGTTACCTTTCTGCATTTAATTATTAAAATACCTTTAATTTAAAATGGACAGTTCCATATTCAAAGCAGAGCAAGACTATTGTAGGAAATTAGGGTAAAGATTGATATATTTTTCTACAAATCGTCACCGTAATTCATTAACAGTTGAATTACTTCTAAATTAAATAAGAGTTAACCTTATATTGCACTGAGGTTACAAAATATACACATATTTAATTTTGAAAACAAATTTTACAAATTTGTATAATAATATGTTTATAATCCCAAGTCTTAATGTAACTGAAAGAAACTGAAACTGGTCAAGAAAGCCTTCGAAAGATCACACTTGTGTCCTGTTCAGTACAGACTTTTGATGTTTTCTCTTTTTTTTTATGGCAGAAAAAAGCGAGGAAGATGGGACAGTGCAGAGTCATTGAAGAAGGTCGAGGTGAAGCCAACCCCTCCTGTTGCCGAGGTGGACAGGTACAATCCTGGCTCACCAACCAAGCCAAATGGTAAGTTTAAATGTGTTCTTATATTAACATACATGTATTGTCGAATGGCTACTCTTATAAGGGCAACTTCACTGTGAAAAGAAATCAAAAATAAATCTAAGTCATTATTAGCTTGTCTGTTTCGAGGAAAAAGTTGCTACATCCTTGTTATAGTGGGGCTTAAACTATGTAGCCCATTATTCAAACATTTTAAAAGGTACCACTATGAAACTTTGAATACTTGCTTATCATGACAAGGGGCAGTTGGAAGACAAGGGGCATAATTCTGAAAGCTACATTTTTGGAGTTATGCCCCTTTTAATAATGTGTTGTAAAAGTTGCAAAATGTAAACAAAGTAGTATTTTGATTTCCATACAATATACTTATTCACTAAAACTAAACTAAAAGCCAAAACAAAAAGCAACTGATGAAAAAGATGGTTTAAGTAATTGACCAATGAGTATCTTTAAATAAAAGCATTTCTGTCTTTGAGGAAATTTAAAGAAATTGTTTGAAACTATTGTAAAATTTACCTCAAACATCTCTTTTCATAGACATATGTATTGTCATGGTTACAAACATCTCCTTTACAGGTAAATATTTTTAAATTGTTTCATACTTCATTTGATGGTAAAAAAACATTTGGTTTGTATATGACCAAACATATTGTTTAGTATTGATGTGTACATTTCAGATGGATCCCCTGGTCTTCCCCCAATGCCGTCAGATCCGGAGCCAGCACCCCCACCGCCCCCACCACTTCCTGTAGAATGTCTACCCCCTCCTCCCCCACTAGACGACTCTCATGCTATAGGAAAGAAAGATTTCCAGTCGAAACAATCCAAAGAAATTTCAAAATCGGTGCCATCTGTAGGGGACAAGGCTATTTCATCAGTATTTGAGAACAGTAGCCCATTAAAAGGGCAGATCGGAGTTGTGAAGCCAATGTCGATTTTACCTAAAGTAATTAATGCAGACATTCCAATGCCTGCTGAGCAAAAGCCATCAGAAGATGAGGCCTCCAAGGATAAGAAAACAAAGGAAACTAAAAATGAATCTGGACCATCAACTTTAAAGGAATCAAGGGATAAAGAAAGGAGAAGATCAAAATCTTCAAGACAAAGGTCAAAGTCAAGGTCAAAATCTAGAGAAAGAAGTTCTTCAACCCGTAAAAGGTCACCCATAAGAAGGAGAAGAAGTTCTCCATCTCCTAAAAGAAGTAGGAAAAGATCACCCTCACCCTCTCCGAAGAAAAGGCGATCTAGATCACCAAGGAGAAGGAGGTCAAGGTCACCAAGAAGAATTTCAAGGTCACCAAAAAGGCCAAGGAAAAGGTCATCATCTGGTTCTGTGTCTCCTAGGAGATACTCTCCTGTTCCTCCAAGAAGGAGATCAAGGTCTCCGAGGCGTAGAAGGACAAGATCCCCTAGACGAAGGTCAAGGTCACCTCGTAGATCAAGGTCTCCACGTAGAAGATATTCCAGATCTAGATCCAGGTTGGTTACCTATCAAACTGTTTAAAGTTTTTTTTTTTAAGCTCATCCTTGACAAAATGAAGGTGATTTTTGTGATCGCTTTTCGTTCATACCGACCTTTGCTTCGTTAAAACTAATACTTTAAATACACGTAGTCATAAAGCACTAGAATTTCATCCAATCTTGAATGAATATTCCTTTTGGTGGTCATCTTTGAAACTTGTTCTTGAAATGAATTTAATTTATCAGAATTTGGCCAAGAGGCATGATGACATTTTAAATATCTTATTATTATAAAAACGCCAAATGTAGTAATGCATAGTATATTTTCATGAAATTTATTCCTAGTGACATACCCAATGTACATTTAAAACTGGGTCAATTGCTTCTTTGGCATATTGATTTTTTTATTGATATGTAAAAACTTAAAAATTTTTTTTAAAGACTAAAAGCTAAGCTAAGATATTTTAAGCAAGAAAATTTTCTTTGGGTGTCTGAAGACAATGCAAAAGAAAGCCCTTGAAAGTAAAAGAAGGTCCATTTAAATTTCTTATGCATGTAGTTAAAAAACTTAAAATGTTTAATTTCTTTTTAAAAAATACAAAGAGTAGGAGCTCAGAATTTACAAAATATTTCCTAATGGATAGTTAGCCAGTTGTTCAAATAAGGAGCCCTGGTTCAATTGCCGGCGCCCCGGGGGTCCATGATTTTCCTTATATGTTGTATAGCAAAAACTTAAAAAATCTTCTTTGAAAAAAAACAAATAGCTAGAGTTTAGATACTAAGCATGAAACATCTTCTAGTGAGTGTCTACAAAGTTTGTTCAAATAAAAGCCCTGGGGTCAAAATTGGCCCCGCCCTGGGGGGTCATTGATTTTCCTTATATGTGTATAGCAAAATCTTAAAAAATCTTCTTTGAAAAAACTCAAATAGCTATAGCTAAGATATTAGATATTAAGCATGAAACATTTTCCAGTAAGTGTCTACAAAGATTGTTCAAATAAAAGCCCTGGGGTCAAAACTGGCCCTGCCCCTGGGGTCTCATTGTTTTTTACTATATGTGTAAAGAAAAAACACAACGAGCTAGACCTTAGATGTTTAGCATGAAACCTCTTCTAATGGGTGTCGACCATGTTTAATCAAATAAAAGTCCTGGAGTTTTAAACTGGCCCCACTCCGGGGGCCTATATACAGGTGAGCGACTTCAGGGCCATCATGGCCCTCTTGTTTTTTAAATCTTCTCCTTTGACAGTAAACGCTGTATTTATTTTATGTTTAGGCAGTTTCTTCATACCACAAATTTTGCTTTTAAAAACAAAGTATTTGGGAGAAAGCACAGTGAGTATAGTGTATGCATGTTGAATTGGTCTACCATCATTGAAATGAAATATTTCTTGAAAGTGATGTCCTTATTCTTTGATATTTGTTACTTTGAAGATGAATATCAAAATTGTCCTTATTCAGAATTATGGCAAGAGGATGGGTGACATTTTACTATCTTTATTGATTGATAAATAAACAGCATTTTCATAAGTGGTTATTTTGTGTATCATAGGTATATTTTCATTGTAATATTTATTGCCCAATAGTGAAATACATTTTCAAAACTGGTTGCTCATTGATTTTCTTTTGCTATGTTTATTTTGTTGAATGATGTAAATTAACTGTGAATTGTATATTTGTAAATGACTGTATGAATTTAATGCAAGATATAATTTTGTAATAATTTTTTGCAGAAGTCGTGGAAGACATGCGAAAAAGAGGAGTCGATCACCTGTGAAACGTAAAAGAAGGTAACCAATGAAAATTTCTTATGTTCACATTGTTATTTGTTTAAAAAAGTATTCTATTTATAAATGTTTAATTTACATGTTAATTAGAGATAATTAATTGTACGAATAAAGTAGGAAGCTTCAGAAGTTTACAAAAATTATCAAACAAATACACTCAGTATATGTCTGCCAGCTTATCTCAATAGGGGTAGCATCCAGTTATTCAGATGTTGCTGGTGCGATCCTTGGACAAGGCAGAATTTCTCCATGACAATTAATCTCGGACGTTGAGTCTGATAGTAAGTTGTCTCTCACCGCTGATCAGAAATAATTTGGGATAAGTAGTACGTCACTGGCAGAGAAAATGGTAAATACTGGTTAGTTATCCAAGGAAGACGGTTAGATGGGTTGGCATCGGAGTTGAAACCAAAGACGTGTGATAAAATCACTGTAAAAACCATAAAAACAAACAAATTTTCAGTATACAATCTAAGCTAACATTTGTCCCATATGCAGCTGTAGAACTGGGAAACTGTTAAACATATTCCTTTGATCAAAGTTTTAATGATAAATCAGTTGATCATAGGATAATCATGCCTAATTTTGAAATTAAAATTTTAATTTCCAAAAATATGATATTACATACATGTATATAGATTTATATTGTTGCAATATTACAGGCAAAGTAGTAGCTCGTCATCAAGCAGTTCCCGCTCCCGGTCATCACGGAGACGTAACAAAAGGTCACCAAGTAGTAGTGACTCGAGTAGAAGCAGGTCGTCACGACGACGGAGGAAGAAGAGTTCAAGTAGCAGTCGAAGTAGATCTTAAAAGGATAATAGAATGACAAACATTTTAAAACTGTTTTTTTTTTATTATCTATTTTTCTTTTTAATAAAATGAAAGGTTTATTTCATTAATTTTCACGGTATGAATTTTGTACATTTCTTGGCTTTTGTCATTTTATTGTTTGTTGAAAAATACATAGTTTTAAAGCTCGATTAAGGGTGTCTAAATGTACATGTCTATGCTTATAGTAAAGAGTCAGGCCAGCCTGGATGTCCGAGCAGGGTTACTTAGAGCCATGGGAAAATGTCCTACAATTGACTGCTTTTGCATTTTTAGCAAGACTTTTTAAAGAATAGCGAAAGATATTGTAGACTTTTCCAGGTGCCTATGTTATAATTTAGTTAAGTTTTTGCATGCAAATGGATATTTCTAAAACTACTGAAGGGAATGGGTTAAAACTTCACACAGTTATTTGAGAGTATAATAGGATGTCAACTTTAAAGGCCATAACTCTGCCGTGGATTTTGACAGAATTATGGCCCTTTTTGAACTTGGAAAATTTTACATTATCCAGGCTCTTTGTATACTATCAAGCACTGAGAATAGCCAACCGATGGCTCTTGTGAATTTTTAATAATTGTAATGAAAGTGACAATAATTTGTACATGTAAAGTGGTGTAAATTAGGTTCTTTTTTATGAAAAGGAACTTATCAAAGACAATTAATTTTAAATTTTATTAAAAGATTTGTTTTTACATTTAAAGGAACTCCACTGTGGTAGAAAGCCTAAAAAACATAAAATCTGAATTTCTTACATGTAATAGCTGGGGCACTACATGTAATAGCTGGGGCACTTAAAACAGAAATATATGCAAAAATATACTTGGAAATAAATTGAAAATAGTATTTTTGAGTGAAAAGTTGCAACACTTTTCAATTTTTGGAATTAGAATAATGATTCTTGAAAAACAGAGTGAGCGAATGATCTGATATTTTACATACCAGTTGTTGGTTTAGACCTACATCAAATAGAACATTTATCTTGAAAAAATATTTCCTGTCCCATCATGTCAAAAAAACATCAGTGGAGTCCCTTGAATGTAGACAATAGTTTCTTGTTGATATAGATAAGTTCATGTGAATTAATGGTGTTGTGTTTTCGTTGTTCGTTTTTTTGTGGGTATTTTTCTGATACAAAAAATGGTGACTTTTTGATAATTGTAACATAACTACTGAAGTACAGTTTTATTTTACTGGGAAATGAGAGGTATTTTGGATTTTCTGGTAACTGTCCGAATATTTGTGTATATTTAGGTAAAACTCATACCACTATACAGTACTTGATTTGACTTTTTGATTTAAAGCTGCATGTCGCCAGATGAGCCGAAAATCTTCAAGAAAATCAATTTTGAGAAAATTTACTAAGATTTTTAGAAAAATGAAAATATTCAATATTTAAGTAATGATTTTTGCAGTATTTATCACCATATATCTACTGTGTAACTAACACAGTTCGGGCTATTTTGCATGTTTTTTAAACTGTATTTGGTAATATATTTTGATTGAATGTGCTGTTTGAAATGTGTAAATTATTTTCTTTGTTCACTTCACAATATTTTACTCCTGAATACATTTTCAAAGTTTTCATGAATCTAGATGCAATCTGCTTTAAACATTTTAATGCAAAAAAAACAAACCCAAAAAAACATTTGAGCCGCCTCACAACAAAACCAACATAATGTGTTTGCGACCAGCATGGATCCAGACCAGCCTGCGCAGTCTGGTCAGGATCCATGCTGTTTGCTTACAAACTCTATAACAAGTAGAGAAACTGATAGCGAACAGCATGGATCCTGATCAGACTGCGCGGATGCGCAGGCTGGTCTGGATCCATGCTGGTCGCAAACGCATTATGTTGGTTTTGTGGTGACGCTGCTCATTTACATACATGTAGACAGTAGCAATACAATGGTATAACATAGGCGGGGAAAAAGGTTGACACACAACTTCTCCCAGTATTAACAATGGGTCTTTTATATACTAAACTAAAAGATTTTTGCTAGTAAATTTCCAATTTAGTATGTCGCACACAGGCAAGTTCATTGATTAGCCTGCTAAATATAGAATATAAGTTATTTATAGTGTACAATTTATTCTTTTTTCTGTTATATTTCACATTAATTGAGATATTTCTTTTGGTTAAACTCTATATATATGGTAATACATGGTAATTGTAAAGTTTTTTTTAAAGTCCAATGTATTATAGTACAAAATGTATACATTTCTAATATACTGGCAACCTTAATTTCATATATTTGTTAAATTGGTTGACTTTAAATTCCTCTTATTTTCAAATTTTGTAATTTTTCAACGTTTGTGAAAATGAATAAAATGGTGGGTCATTATTTATTTTCTTCCAGGACATGATACATTCATTATAGTATGATTTACAATTATTTTTTAGAAGTTAGCAAAGGAAAGATTTGTTCAACATGGGATTAAATTTATAAATATTGTTACACTTGTTTTCGTTGTATTTACCATGTAAAAATTTCTTTTCAGTTGAGAGAAAATTTTGTAAGAGTATTTCATTTGCATGCTGAAAGACACTTTAGCTCCACTTCACTTGTAGCAGAGTGCAGCTTTTGTCATTACCCTCTTTTGTGTGTTCACTTTATGTTAACTTTATGTTAAGGCGGCGTGGCCGGCTTGTTAACGCGTCGGCAGAAATGGTGTTTAATTAAATTAAACATACGCCGCGTGTGTTCAATCCCCCTTCAGGGGTTGAAGCCATTGTTTCCTTAAGCAAGGAACTTTACACTCGTTACTAAGCACTGGTTTGTTCCAGGAACAAATTCGAGACTGTTTCAATATCCTTATACTGTAGCTTTTAACACAATCGAACTAAAAATAAATTATATAAAAAGTATCAAAGATATTCGCTTCAACTAGCTTACGGTACATCAGCGGTTCTACTCGTCTGAAACAATGTGCTGAGGGGCACCTTCGGTTTCCTTCACCAGTAAAGCTGGGAAGTCGTCGTATGACATACTGTGTGGGGTAAATAACAGTAGTGCAACGTTAAAAGAAACACTTCAAACTTGAAATACTTAAATTGTTATTTTAAAGGACAGGTAACCTTAGGATGTTTTTGGTACAGTTACAACCCTTTTTCCTTGGAATTTCGCTTCTTATTCTTTCAAAACACGTCACAGATAATCACTGTAAGCATGAAATACTTTACATTAAATATTGTATTCAATACTGAGAGGAGTGGAGCGAGCTATCCGCGACCATATGAAATACAACCACATTACTTTGTACAATTATACTGCACACTTCGAATATCGGCCAGTCTGTCTTCTGGTAGAAAACTAATCGGTGATTTCAGTGAAACATTGTTGTATAACTTCCATGACGTAGATTACATTGTCGGTGTGACTTTTCTTTTTCTTTTTTCGTTTTATTCCGGTATAAATACCGAAGTGGTTCTCCCTTGTGTGAGGGCTTTGTTTCATGAACAGCGCCAACCCCCTTGATCTTTCTATACCGAAGGAGCGGTGGGGAAGTTGAAAGTATCTAAGGTCGTGGGTCCGAGCACTAATTTGGTCACGGCCATGATTTCTCATACGACACCAGTACTGTATGAACTATAGAATATGTCTAAAAGTCAAATAAAAATAGATTTTATACCCATTCTGGCTTCGAATTATACGGATAATTACACACCTGTATATACTACTTGTTTCAAAGTGTTCGTTGTCCGCTAAGCTCATTGGCTTGACGTTTTGAACTTTTGTCTCGTACAAATATACATGTAATGATTATGCACTGATTTAGCAGACATTTAATCTATATAGATTAAAGATTTTCGACCACTGGTCACTCGGCTTTATATTTTAATCCTGCTAGATGTAATAACTTTGAATAATTTTTAATCCTAAACGATTAATAGGATTCTAAAACTTTAAAATTCATGATTTTCTTTTACAACATAGGTACAGAATTAATGGATTCTAAACAAACCGTTTGTTTTATATACGGAAATGAAATAATTTTAAGTATTTTGTATTTTCTAAACAAAGTGGTGGCATAATGCGAAAATGAATAACTTCTGTAGCAGATTTCGGAATTTGAAATGTGGTTATTAAATGGTTGAATAATAGATAGTCGAATACTGGACGATTTTTTTCTTATTTTGAAATTAAATGATAAAAAACTATGTGGTTCCCAACAGATAACCGTCCGCCAAGCACACACAACACGCCGCGCACAGATCGCAGGTTACCAAAATTAAATGACAAAGGAAGCACTATAAGCCGTAAGTCAGACCGTCCTGTTCTGCCACCGGCGCAAGGAACCAGTACTGGTAAGCCGTTCTTTGTAGAGGATGACAGACGATCTAAAATAACCGTAGTGTCTTTAAAATCGGACAGAACATCTAGGACAGTACAGACAGTCCAGTCGACATTATCACCACGGACACCAGTTGCCCCACCTCCGAAAGGCGCGAAAGGAATGTTTATAAAAGCAAAGACTAAAGTGAAAGACGGCTTCAGGTAAGGTTGTTTTTTTAGTAATTTAAAGACACATTATGCCTCAGAAATATTGTTTTCTTCTTTATAAAAGGCAAATATGAGGTTTACAACATTAAAATTATGGTTTTTTTTGGCAAGCAATATGCTTATCATCTTAAGAAAGTAGCACTGTATATATTAGTTGTCATGAAAATAGAAAATTGAAAACAAAGTAGTATTTTGACTTCCATACAAAATAAATCACTTTAACTGTACTAATTGCGGAAAAGCAAAAGAAGGTTCAGCTAATTGGTCAATGAGTAACGTTTTGGAAACACCCAGCTAAAATCTTTTGAGAAAACAAGAAAAAAAGCATTTCTGATTTAATATTTATGAAATGAAATATTGTATAACAGAAAGTACCCCTTGCCTATAAATTGAAACAACGTCATACGTAAATGTCATAATATAGATGTAGTATACAGAAACAAACTGCGGGTGCCAACAAGCAGTAGTTTATAACAGAAACAAATTGCTGATGCTACAAAACACGGATATGAAATTTACTACAACAGAAATTTGCAAATGCCGACATAAAATTGACTTTATAAACAAATTGTGGTTACCGACAAACACGGATATAAAGTTGACTATATTAAACAAATTGTGGTTACCGACAAACACGGATATAAATTTGACTATACAAACAAATTGTGGTTACCGACAAACACGGATATAAAGTTGACTATATTAAACAAATTGTGGTTACCGACAAACACGGATATAAAGTTGACTATACAAACAAATTGTGGTTACCGACAAACACGGATATAAAGTTGACTATACAAACAAATTGTGGTTACCGACAAACACGGATATAAAGTTGACTATATAAACAAATTGTGGTTACCGACAAACACGGATATAAAGTTGACTACATATGTTTACAAACAAATTGTGGTTACCGACAAACACGGATATAAAGTTGACTATATAAACAAATTGTGGTTAGCGACAAACACCGATGTAAAGTTGACTATACGAGTAAACAAATTGTGGTTACCGAAAAACAACGATATAAAGTTGTTTATACGAGTAAACAAAATGTGTTTACCGACAAACACTGATATAAAGTTGACTACAAAAATACAAACATATATAGTTGACTATACCAGTAAACAAATTGCAGATGCCGACACACTCAGATATAAAGTTAACTACATTAACAAATTGCGGATGCCGACACACACGGATTTAAAGTTATGTACATAAACAAATTGTGGATGCCGATAAACACGGATATACAGTTAACTACATAAACAAATTGCGGATGGCGACAAACACGGATATAAAGTTAACTACGTAAACAAATTGCGGATGGCGACCAACACGGATATACAGTTAACTACATAAATAAATTGCGGATGCCGACAAACACGGATTTAAAGTTATCAATATATGATACGGATTTGACGCGCTGTTACGCATTCAGTGAATCAAACAGTTCTCCTTATAACAATATTTACCAGTTTTATATCTCTGAAGTTAATCTTCTAAGTAACACCAATATATAATTTCTAAGTCAGACGTATTAAAATGTAATGTTCATCTTTTTTGTATTACAGAGAATCTTCAATAAAAAGAATTGTGGCATCAGGCCTATGTGTGGCGACGACGCTTCTACTGTTATTCGGAGTGTTTCTGCCTTTTTGGAACGTGTACACTTACACAGTCGATGATGTGACCACTGGCTACTATGGGGGTTTGTGGAACTACTGTCTGAGGGTCACTGGTGGGAGTACGACCTGCACCATGTACACAGAGTATTATTTAGCACGTATGTTACGATTTCGAGAAGTTTGTTTTCAATATATGAGCCGCGTCACGACAAAACCAACATAATGGGTTTGCGGCCAGCATGGATCCAGACCAGCCTGTGCATCCGCGCAGTCTGATCAGGATCCATGCTGTTCGCTTACAGACCCTGTAACAAGTAGAGAAACTGATAGCGGACAGCATGGATCCTGATCAGACTGCGCGGATGCGCAGGCTGGTCTGGATCCATGCTGGTCGCAAACGCGCTATATTGGTTTTGTCGTGACGCGGCTCATATATTCCCCTTATCGTTCTTTTCTAATACACTGTACATCAAATTGTAACATTTAAGTGGAGCGGTGGCCTAGTGGTTAAGGTGTCTGCCTCTAACCCCAGGGATGATTGGTTCCGACCCTGTTTCTTCATTTGACACCAGTACTGGTTGGTTCCAGGAAGCGGACTCGAAAGTGATTAATATAAGTTGCAAGAACTTGTTCATTCGAGCTTAGGTAGATATGTTTTAACCAAATAGTAACATTTTGAAAAAAAATATTTGCTCCGTATTTTGAATTCTAAATTGAGTAATAAAAAAAAAAACTAACTAGGCTACAACTGTAACTGCCTTGAAACGTTTTTAGGTGTTTCTGTTAACGTTAGGGTGGAATATTTCAGATTGAGCAAGTCATTCTCGTCAACTTCCCAGAATGAACTACATTTTTGCCAACATTCTTTCTAGCTTTCCCCTCTAGATTCGCATAATCCGCAATCTTTTCTTTATTTTTTCTATTTTAATTCAGCTTGTCTGTTATTTAGCCATTCTTTTTATCATTAATTTCTGTAAATACATTTGAATTTATGTTTACATATAGTGTGTTACTGCTCCATCTTTTAAATAAAACGGTTAGGTTATATTGGAGCGTAACATCATTGTAATAACCTGCCGATACAACAACTTACCGCCTGATTTCAAGGCCCATTGAGCCCCATAAATGCCTTTATTTCTATTTCTATTTAAAAGTCTTTTATTTGTGGTGTACTTTATAATACTTTTATTGGTTCAAAAAGTAACTCAGAATCATATTTTTTATGTGCATTGCCTTTTGGCAGTTGGTACAGTTATATGAATTAATTATTTAATTTTTATATTACATGCATATAGTTACGTCGCATACATAACCGATTTTTTTTCTTTTTTCTTTCTTCATTTTGTTATTTGTTTTTTGGTTTTTTTTTTCTTTTTTGCATCCGATTTTTAAGTATGTGTCTTATATTCAATTTCTTAATCATACATAGGGGTTATGCACGGTGGCACTGAGCAGACATGCACAATTTGTTTTTAAAAATGCACTTCTCTCTTTTTTATCTCGTTACTATACTAATTCGAGGGAACGACTTAGAGCCACCGTAGTTCTTTTGTAAATGAAAAAAATCACACAAATGTTATATATATTTTTGTAGACTGGTTCCGAGCCGTACGATTTTTGGAATTGATGGCGTTTATGGGAATGCTTGGACTAATGGGTTTGGTAGTTGCCTACATGTTCTTTCTGCGAGAGATTAAATATATCTTTCTTCAATGGATCATAATTGGGCTATGCTTTGGTGTAGGTATGTAAGAAACTAAGATGTTTTACAACTATGTTTACTTTTACACGTTAAGGAGCTACAACTCTGTAATTCAAAAAATAATTTCAGGTCATTTTAAACAGGAATTCAAGTTCGAAGGTTAAGCAAGTTCTGTGGAAATCTGTTTCAGAACGAATCAAATCAAATATAAAATTGCTATAATGCAGACACTCATAATTTGGCCATCTAAGGGGCACAACTCGGACATGAGTGATGGAATCAAACCTCAATCGATATTTTTAATGATACAATTTGTGTCTGATCAAACTGGTGAAAATGGCAGATTCCGAACTGAAATTCCAGCTTATAAATAAAAGACAGGTTGCCGGATTGTTTTTCTGGTTAATTTCAATATATCCAGTACGTATGTTAGATTAATATTAACTCCGACTTAGATGACTTTGTAAAGTTTAAATACAAACAGCTCTTACATTTATCATGGACTACATTTTGTTTGTTTTCCAGCTTTATTCAGTCTACTAGGATTGATTGTTTACGCCTCTTCTTACTCTAACTCAAGTCACATCAGCAGTGCGTATGGACTTACATTTTGCGCGTTCTTTGGCACTTGCGCTGCTGGTGCCCTTTTTCTATGGGACAAACTGACAATGGGAAAAGAAATTGACGCTACAACGGGATTTAGAGGATTATCCGGGTACCAAAGTTCAAGGCCGTCAAAGATGCGCAGCCGACTCTCTCACGTAAAGAGCACGAGATCCCATGGTCAAAGGTCAACGGATAGGTCAACAGTGGTCAGTAAAGTGTCAAGCGTCCCAAGAAGCACGAGATTAGGTGCTAATCCAAGCGTTGGTGCTGGCACTCAGCTTCCTACAACCAAAGAAGTGTAAAGATTGCCAATTAATCATTCTAAAGCAATCAGAATAGAACCCTTTTGACTATTTCCCAATGACTTAATTCGTGTTTGATAACTTTGTTGCTATGTGATATATTTTGTTGAAATCCTAAATTGTGTGTATTGATATTTATTTTGTCAGAGCGTAAAAAACGTTTTGCTATAAGTGTTTAGGTTGAATGATATAAATACGTTATAATTATATATGTATTGTAATATAGTTAAGAATAAATAATTAACTTGGATCTTTTGCCGATATAAACCTTATATGAGTATGACAAGCAAAGTGCGTTGAACCAAAAGGTACAGTTTACAAGAAAGGTTCGTTTGTTAGAGTATAATACAAAATATCTTCCTGACTCCAATATTAATAATATAAACAATATTTTTGGCACTATTCATGAGAAAGCTGCTTCTTACCCCTTACCGTGTGAGAACCGGAAGTGATTAGCTTTTGGCACCAGTGTTAGGCCAGGCCAGATAGCAAAATCAGGCTCTATACTGTTGGTAGTTTCATATTGAATTGTTCCAAATTCAAAGCTCGATAAATTTGACAGGGATAATTCTGCACTGATTTCAATACTTTTATTATGACAAATTAACACAGGTTTCTTAAGCAATAAGTAGTACTGTATCTCCATTACTTCTTTTCTGAAAGAAGACTGTTGTGTTACAAACGATTTTATTTTAATAGAACAAGTAACCTATTGATAAAAATTGGTTACCGATTCTCCGATCTATAAAAGGCACAATATTTTTTGCAGCAACACCATTCTCGATATTGAACTTAAAAAAAAACTACCTTTTTTCCTATACAGTAAAAAATCTGTAGAGCAACACCCTTCGAGAGTAGCAAAAATGTTTGTTGATGAGATGTTACTTTACAGGACTAAAATCTTATTTGTAGTCTAAATTTGAACTTTTTGAAAAAATTATTAGTTGTACATACATAGTGCATTATATAATCGGACAAAATAGCGTCGCGGGTAAAAATAAATACCGTAACTATTTCGGTTATTTTTGACTGTATGCTATTATAAATTATTAAGCTCTTGGATTGATGAACTTTCAATCAAATGACACCAAATAATCATCCCAGAATGGGACAGTAAAGATTATTTATATGCCGAAGTAATCTGTGTCCATGTGTGCTGAAGTTCTCAAAAAAGATCCTGTCTCCTGGAGCTTTCTTTTAGTCAGATTCTCATTAGTATCTTGGAATATTTCCACGTTTTTGATAGAAATCGATCGCTTTACCTTCTTTAAACAATTTCCGAGCAATTTCCTTTACCCTCAGGTTATTCTTTCTTTTTTATTTAAAACCAAGCAGACTAATCAAATCACACCATGTAAGAGACGTCATACGTCTGTACGTGTTTTAGAAATAACCAATTGAATCCAATTTCTGTTCATGACGCGGGTATTGGTAGCATTTGACACATAAACATGTCTACATCATTATGAAGCTCCACCATTTTGTCTGAATAATTATATTGCACCATACTGATCACTCTTCGGCCACTTCAGGCCAGGTACATAATCGACACAGGGTTTACATTAACAACAAAACAAATTCCTCCTTTTTTAGATTCTTTATATATTTATAGTACAGGGAATGGTTTATAATAGATGATATGTATATATTTTATATAAAAATGTATAAAAATACCTCGCTTCCTTTATATATACATAAGAACTGATTCCATAAATGAATTAATGACATATACATATGAATTGACTAAAAACTATATTATCTGTAAGAATATTAAACTGAAATCTGAATTAAACAGAAAGATCACTGAATAAATTGAATTAACTTGTGTTCCTAAGTAATTAAATTAATTTCTATCTGTGTACAAATATATATCAGAAAAAGAAATTATATAACCAAAGAAATTATATAACCAAAGAAATTATATAACCGAAATAGATCTGATTGATTTACTGGTGCATATATTATGAATATGTATTTCAAAAACATGCATATGTATTACATGATGTACAAATATTTGAATATGCATGAATACTAAAACAGATAATTTGCATATTCATAAAAACATTTAATGAAAGAAGATATGGGTGTATATAAGCACTTTTATTCATTGACCTAATTACAGTTTTGAAAATCATGCAGAAAAAAAAACCCTTTCACTTCCTATGTAAATGTTATATTTTTCTTTTGTCATATTTTAAATGAAAATCAAATGCTTTTAATATCAATATTCTCTTATTTTTTACTGTGTTTACAGACACCTGTTAGATTGCCTGATTAACTAATAGTTTATACATGATGACTCTAGTAATAATGAATGCAAGAAACAAAATTAATCTTAATATCATAATAAGATGTAAATTGCAAATAAAGTTTGAAATGCTAATGATCTTGTGTATAATACATGTATATAGTTATACTATAAGCTCTTAAAAAATATTTCAAAATCAATCCAAGGGCCTGTAATCTTGTAAGTTCCTTAACAAGTTTTTCGCAAATTACTTCCCTTGATTAACACATGTTCAGAAGTGAAATACTACGAATAAAACTCTAGTATATAGATCTTGCTGGAATAATTTATGCAAAAAAGAAACGTGCGTAAAATCAATATTTAGGGAAATTTGACTAAAACAAGTGATATCAACTGATGAAAATATATAACTTAATTACATGTATTTACTATAAATACTTAGTAGAAGTAGTAGTAAAAGAGGTACATTAAGTGATATGTCCTCAGTCTTTGGGAAAAAGTGTGAAAATTTAGCAAGATATTGGTTTGCATGAAACAGAATTTCAAATCAGGACTTTCAATGTTTAAAAAATTTAAGTATAAACTCCAAAATGACCCCTGGAATGACTTTTTCTATACATGTAATTGCTTGAAAGGCATAATATACATATGCAAAATGTGCATACATAATGTCATCTTGGATACTTCTATAGCATGTCATGAATATACAGATGGTACAACAACTTTATGTTATATTTAATCCATAGAAATTATATTTAGGTCATATGGTTAATATTGAAGGTTTCACTGATACAGAAGCAATCCTGATGTTCCCCCACCCCCTTTCATTAATTCAGTCACAAGTCTGCACATAGAATGAACCATTCTCCTATTACAATTTTTAGTCACCAAGATTTAAAATGTCCGGCACCATATCCTCCGCAAAAAAGGAGGAAAATCTTAAAGTCTGTAAGTCAGCCACTTTAACAATTCTAAATTAGAATCCACACTTGATGGACTTGATTGAATATGATAAATTATAATGTATATGGTACATACATAATAACCACAGTTTTTGCACAAAAACCCTTGGCAATTCATGAAAAAGTGAAATGTACAAATCACATAAAACATTCTTGAATGGAAAATTCAGCTCAAAAAAAAAAAAAATTTTTAAAAAAGCACTTTCATGTCACAACCATCATGTATAACAATAATTATCAATATAAATGATAAAGATCATTCTTTACTTGCTTTACCATAAAATGCTTGCGGCTAAATGATTTGAAAACAATACAATATAATATATTCCATGATAAAAATTTATATACATTATTGTAAACGGGCAATCATGTAAAGCCAACATGTACGACTATGAATATTTGAATTTTTTCAAAATTTACCAAATTTACAAGTTGACGTCACATATCTGATTAAATGTCATGCTCTTGAAGTAGTTTTGAAAAAAAAAATCATTTTCACAAATGCGCAATCACACATTTTGTATAAAGATCCGCAGGATGAGCTTTTTCAATTTTTCCCTGCAATTTTTTTGTGTTGGGAACTAAAAGTGTAAAATTATCTACTAAACTAAAACTCTAGTAGTAATGAGCAAAATTCATTCAATGCAAAAATCAAGAATACAGTTACTGTTAAATGCTTATAATTTCCCAAAATAATTTATAACAGTCTTTTATGAGAGATTGTAAAATTTATTCCAAAATGGCTTGAAGTCAAGAAATAGTGTTTGCGAAAAAGAAATAGTTTCCACTATTCTAAGGCTTATAAATTTTGATTCAAACACAGATGGTGTAAAATGTTCCAGCAATGCTGATTTTTTTCAAGTGTCTGAATCCTGAATTATCCAGGAATATATTAAAATTTCTTAGAAACTACATGAAATAATGATGTTTTTCCTCCAGATTTTTCAGAAATCTGTAAACTTATATGAACTCTGGAGGCATGCCAGTTTAACAATTACCTAATTACTTACATAATGCAGAAAATGTTTTTTTTAAGTTTAACTTCACAAATATGATGATAAACTTTTATTTTCACATGGCAAAGCATACCATGTAAAATAAAAATTTGATTTTTAAAAAGATTTTTTCCATGGTTTAAGTTGCTAAACAAGAGGGCCATGATGGCCCTAGATCGCTCACCTGAATTATCAAACTCATCCAAACAATTACCTAGACAAGCATTCTGACCAAGTCTCATGACAGGTGAGTCAAAAATGTGACCACTACAGTGTTAACAAGGATTATCCATATTTGAGCAGTGCGACCTAGTTTTTTACCCAGGTGACACATATTCAAACTTGACCTAGAAATCATCAAAACAAACTTTCAGACCAATTTCCAGGATACTTGGATCAAAATAGTAGCAACTAGAGTGTTAACAAGATTTTTCTATTTTTAGCTCCGGTGACCTAGTTTCACATGGGATTTCGAACTCATCCAAGCAATTACCTAGACAAACATCCTGACCAAGTTTGATGATAATTGAGTCGAAAATGTGACCACTAGAATGTTAACAAGGTTTTTCCATATTTGGGCGGTGTGACCTAGTTTTTCATCCAAGATGACCCATGTTCGATCTTGACTTAGAAATCATCAAAACAAACTTTCAGACCAATTAACAGAATATTTGGATCACAACAGTAGCCACTAAAGTGTTAACAAGATTTTTTCTATTTTTAGCTCCTGTGACCTAGTTTTTCATCCGAAATGTCCCATGTTCGATTTATTCCCAGCAATGACCTAGACAAGTTTCCTGACCAAGTTTGATGACAATTGAGTCAAAATTGTGACCACTAGAGTGTTAACAAGGTTTTTCTATTTTTAGCTCCTGTGACCTAGTTTTTCATCCGAGATGACCCATGTTCGAACTCATCCGAGCTATCACCTAGACAAGCATCTTGATCAAGTTTGATGATGATTGATGCAAAAATGTGACCGCTAAAGTGTTAACAAGGTTTTTCTATTTTTAGCTCTGGTGACCTACTTTTTCCTCCGAGATGACCCATGTTCGAACTCATCCAAGCTATCAACTAGATAAGCATCCTGACCAAGTTTGATGATGATTGATGCAAAAATGTGACCACTAGAGTGTTCACAAGGTTTTTCTATTTATAGCTCCGGTGACCTAGTTTTTCATCCGAGATGACCCATATTCGAACTCATCCGGGCTATTATCTAAACAAGCATCCTGACAAAGTTTGATGATGATTGGGTCAAAAATGTGACCACTAGAGTGTTCACAAGGTTTTTCTATTTTTAGCTCCTGTGACCTAGTTTTTCATCAGAGATGACCCATGTTCGAACTCATCCAAGCAATTGACTAGACAAGCATTCTGACCAAGTTTGATGATGATTGGTTCAAAAAATGTGACCACTAGAGTGTTCACAAGGTTTTTCTATTTATAGCTCCTGTGACCTACTTTTTCATCCGAGATGACCCATGTTCGAACTCATCCAAGCTATCACCTAGACAAACATCCTGACCAAGTTTGATGATGATTGGGTCAAAAATGTGACCTCTAGAGTGTTCACAAGGTTTTTCTATTTTTAGCTCTTGTGACCTAGTTTTTCATCCGAGATGACCCATGTTCGAACTCATCCGAGCTTTCAACTAGATAAGCATCCTGACCAAGTTTGATGATGATTGAGGCAAAAATGCGACCGCTAGAGTGTTCACAAGTAATTGTGGACGGCCGGACGGACGACGGACGACGGACGACGGACATTCACCGATCCTAAAAGCTCACCCTGAGCAAGCTCAGGTGAGCTAAAAAAAGTTTAAAGAAATCAATTCACAACCTATGATCGAGCTTGCAACAATGTAACAGCATCACGATTTATTTTGTTATCTGATAACAAAGAAAAGTTAAAAATATAAGATACTATTCACAATCATAAAAATACATATGAACACTTTCATTCTGTTTGTAAAACAGTCATAAATTTTATGATACAAGATTAAAAAGATTTTGTAATGATTTCTATTTACAAATGGCACAAAAACAAGAAAAAACTGTACAATTCAAAAACCGTTTTTTGCAATTAAAAAGTACAAAAAGCTGGTGTTCAAGCATTTAAAAAAAAAAAATTCTATTATGGAATGATATTGATATTTTGATCACAGATAAACCAAAAATCATAATTTTACACTTAACTGTTCAGCAAAATGTCTTCCGAATTAAACATGGAAAACTTGATTTTTTTGTATCTTTGGTCATGCATAATTGAATAAACTTAATATTAACAAAAATTTAACTCTGAAAATTCAATTTAATTATACATAAATCCATTTATAAATTTCATATATTAAGGTGGTACATATTAATTGAATAGGTATAACAAAATTCAGCTCAAATAGAAACAAAGCTACGACTCTCACTGCCAAAAAGAAGACCCTGATTATTGCAGTAAATGAAATCTGGGTGCATTTAAACTAAACAGTTTTTTCTTGCCTTGTTAAAACAACCTTGTACTAACAGTCTAGCACTAGATCCTGCTAGTAGTTAAACTTGAGTCTATAATGTAAAACTTGGGCTATAATTAGCACTAACACGATGATGGTAGATATGATCCCGCCCAATGCCGCTCCTTTTGCGTAGGACCCGTATTTCGATGCCTGGATGTATTCCTTCTTCTTGAAGAAATCTCTAGACATCTCTGTAAAAACAAAATAATATAAATGGATACAAATTAACCAATCTTTAGCAACATATTTGTTTGCATCATTTCAAAATCAAATGACAGTTTAACTGATTTTAAAATGATGGAGTTTAGAGTTTCAGGCACCTAATCATATATTCAAATAGCAAATATCTGTTCTCATAATTGAATTGGATTGATCTTCTTTTTTCCAAGTTATGCAAGGTAATCAGCAGTGCAACATATTTAGCATTATGTTAATGCATAGCATTATTTGAAATTTATTCACAACAATATTTATATCTTATTCAAATTATGAGAAAATTTTAAACATGATTATCACTGTTAACTAGTTTGATATCAGTTCACTATTAGTTACATTGAATTCTAACACGACTCGCATTTTTCCCTATTGAACATAGAAGAACAGAAAGTGTGTGTTATTATGCTATAAAATCACTGTTTGACGTTCTATGTTTAGACATGTGACGTAACCTCTACAAAAATCCGACGCACTGACAATAAGAACGGAAACAAATTAGGCACAATTTTGTTTAATATCAGGTACGGCAACATTTATTTGTTGATGTCATGTTAGAATCGAAATAATATATCCAAATCAGGGATTTTATTGCTTGATAACATCACTGTTTGTCGTTTGGATGCGCATCATTATATCACTCGGGCTACGCCCTCGTGATATAATTCCTCGCATCCAAACTCCAAACAGTGATGCTATTGAGCAATAAAATCACAGTTTGGGATATATTATTTCTTAAATAAAGACTGTACTGTGTAAACCTTCTTTTTTTAAGTGACTATTTTTGTATAGATATTGACAGTTTACTTGTAAGCAGTAACATGTGAAAAAAAACAACCCTTTATTAAATGCATTACTTTTTTAAATAATGCTAATTAAATGTTTTACCCTTTGAAATGATGCTAATTAACTTTTTAAAAGGATGTTAAATGCATTACTTTTTTTCAAAATACAGTTATGCCAATTTAATGTACTATGTCAATTCTATGCCTGACTTTTAAATATAATTAGCTGCATGATGTGGTGAATTATTCTATAAACAAACTACCTCAAAGAAAAATGATATGAATATTTATATCACTGGAGAAAAACAGATCAAATAAATCATTACCAGCAAGAAGAATGGCTGCAATTCCAAAAATAGGATTGCAAAATAAGGAGCAGAATGCAAATCCCCAGTTATCTTGCGCCCGTTGCATCTCATTCGGAGCTTCAGCCGTGACAGGAAGTACGAAGAAGGAGGCTTGAGATGGTGTGTAAGTCGAGAGGTAACTCTTGTAACTAGGGGTGATACTCGCCATACTAGCCTGTGACGAGTAATGGGACGGCCATTGATGCATTTCAAACGCGGACTGGGAGTCCATCTCGCTCCCGTCCAACTGAGATTTACTGTCATAGTACTGCATGGTTGTTTCTTTCTACTGAAATAAACATTAAATAATATCAAATTAAGAAAGGTTTTAACAAACAAATCTGCGAAGTTGTTATGTAAAACATTTGCTATTAATTTACTGACTTATTTTAATAGTATTAATCTTGCTGACTTTCCACTGAAACCTATCAGTGCTCATGCAATAGCTGGTGGCATATGGGAAACATAGTTATGACACTAGCTGCATTACTAGAAACCATGTTCTACTAGTCGTAAGGTGTGCATTTGAAACCTTAAAAGGCTATTTGGTGTGCCGCTTTGAATTCATAATAACTTATTGCACCAATAAGTTTAATTACTAACAAGAATGACTAGCTCAGCTTCATATCGATAATATGGTGTGAAATGGATGTGACACTTTCATTATGTAAAGATTTCGAGTTACAGCTGTTTCGAACCAAACCCTCAGTTACATAATCTGCAGCTTCACTGCTGCTTGACCATACTTGACTTGTTCATTGAAGCATTTTGCTTTTGATATCTCTAAATTAACATTCTTTAAATTATCTAGTCCCACATGATGTTAGGAAACAGTATCAAGATTTGTAGCCCATGATCAACAACACATAGAATTGTATGCATCATACAGGGTAACCAACTAAAATCAATTTGGCTTTGATATTCATGATGTAATCTGTGACAGAAAAGTTTTATGTAATTAATCACATGATAATCAGATATTTACATCATACTGGTTTAAAATTGTTTACCATTACTATAAGCAGTATACATTGTATACATTAAAGGGACAGCTATAAGATACAAGGGAATCCAGGCACCAGTAACTAGCTCTTAATGATAAGACCCCTTGGTTCTTTTACATGCCCAGTGTATAGCACTTATACATGCAAGGATTACCTGGATTTCTTACCAGTACACCTCTAGGTAGGTGGGAAACACTGAAAGTGTCACTGAAAAAAGTGTGTAACCCTGGACCTCCGGAGTAATAATCAGTGGTCTAACCAATTCTGAGTGAGCTATCGCGTATATATGTATAATGACTAGCATATTGATCAATCACAACTTGAAATATGACAAGAGCTATACCATCATACACATGAACTAACTTTGAAATACTATCCCAGATCCCGAAACGTGAAATTTTTCTTGACCACTGGCATGACTGCAAGTATGTTGAATAAATATTTTTCTATTTACAGCGGCTTAATTCTGTGATAGTAAAGAATAACATTATAACAATAAAGGCGAAACAAATACAATGGCAATCAGATCTACATGCAAGTAATACGGGGAAGTCAAAGACCGGGCCCGCGAAGCGGGTCCGGGCTTTGGCTTGCCCGGCTATAGACTACACGTGTATATTTAAAAGAAAATCAAATAAAAAACATTTAAAAAATACATAGAATTCTATACCTATCAACGAAATTTTCAGTGTCAGTTCTAGTCGGGCGCCGCCATTTACAATGTAACTCAATGATAATAGGCGGGGTATTCCGATAACGTATCAAATCTCAACTTTTCGGATAAATAATAATCGTCGAGTGTTCCGAGTGAAAACGGAAGCAGTGCATGTAATACCGAATGACACCTTTAAAACGGAAGGAATGAAAGGAATATTTTAACGACTTCCCCGTTCATAGGCTTTGCCTAATTTCATATTATTTTAAGTATATAATATCTAAACTTTAGTAATACTTGACAGTTATCATAACTGTCAGAGAACTTATCTAAATTCTAATAACAGATAAAGAAAAATGGGATAGTTAAAGGTGCAAAACGAAGCAACTAAATATTATACTTTGTCTAAGCACACTGACGTAAATACTGACTATGCTATGTCCCTAAGATGTATATTGATCTATGAAAGTTATTATCTCTATCTCTTTGTGGCAGCATTGTCCTACGAAAGGCTATCATACCCGGCTTATATTATGAAATATGGCGGAAGTGAATCACCTAAAAATTCCAGGTAAAATCAAGGTGTATTACCTGTTTGAACACCTGTATTCAATACTAGAATAGTTAACTTTACGTCAATTTGTATTCTTAATCTTAAAACGCCAACGTTTAAATCTGATATATTCCTTGTCTTTACATAGCGTTGATTTTAAGTTGGAAGTTTCAAATTTGTAAACATGTTCGCCATTAATTGAATTGTCAATACGCATGCGCACAGGTGAAAAATGTTTTCATCGCTTAGTCAGAATTTCCGGTGTAGTGGTATACGAATTACCTCCCTTAGACCACGTTACCTCCCTTAGACCACGTATAGAGCGGTGTGCACCCGGCGCGCGCCTCCCAAAATTGTTCATAATGTTAGTTTGAAAGATCATCTTTCATATTCTTAAAAAATGATGAAAATAATACTAATAAAAAATAATGAAAAGCGTTTTTAACTCAGATCCCGTTTAATTATTGAAATTAAGTATCTGATCGAACTATAGGCTATAACAAATAATATTTTTGGATAGTGCAACCATATTGACGAGGGCACGAATAAATTAGCGATATTCTGGTTTTCTTAAAAGTCAATTTACGATTTTTTTTGTTTGCTTTTGCAACTGGTACGTTAAGTAAAATCATGATTTGCTAAAAATAGTTTTCATGATTAAACCTGTATGCAAATTTTTGTGACAACCCTCGATCTCATTGGAATCACACATTGGATAAGATGTGCAAGCTAGTATCTCCATAACTAGTGAATAGAATTGATTGGAAATTCACACATTTGTTCTCTATGATTATCTTACATGATTGGCACAAGTCCCATAACTCTGAATTTCCCTTTTTTCATAACTTTATGCTCCTTTTCTAACTGCCAAGCACATGGAGAAGTAGAGCGCGCTGTCTTTATGGACATCTCTTGTTATATATCAATTTAGCTAGCTTACGGAAGGTTCGTGTTTTACATTGTCCACTCGCGCCTGAAAAAAAATGCATAGAGGGGCATACTGAGGCAAAAGTAGAGCCATAACCGTTTACAATACATTGTTGTTGCAAATTGAAAACCAAATCTCAGGACCATTAATAAGTTAAATGTTCCTAGTAAAACTACAGAGCAATTTTGATTGAGTTTCCAATGCACTTTACATTTTATAATTAATTTTGAGAATTGACATTTCCTCGCCTTCAAAAAAAAAAAACGTCAATCAGTTTTCTCATCAGATGTACAGTCGATTACAGTAACGTTACACTGTAAACTTAACAATTGTTATTGTCATAATTCGATTTGTTTGTTTGTTTGATTGGGTTTCACGTCACACCGACACAGTATAGGTCATATGGCGACGTCCCAGCTTTACTGGTGGAGGAAGACCTCGGGTGCCCTTCCGTCCATTATATCAGGCACGAGCGGGCACCTGAGTAGAACACCTGAGTAGAACCACCGACGTTCCGTAAGCTTGCTGGATAGCTTCCTCACATGAAAGAATCCAAAGTCCCTGTCGGGATTTGAACCCACAGCGGTGAAGGGCAAGTGGTTTGTCATAATTCGATAGTTGTCATATTGTTGTACATGTATAAAATAGCGTTATGTTCATCTGCAGGAAAATATCGTGAATTAAGGTTATGACTGAAAAAGTTTGTTTGAAATATATCATCAACAAACATGCTATTTTGTAAAATTAACAATAAAAAATGTATAGTTTAATGTATTGTCAGTTACATTATGTAAAACAAAGATTAAAATGGTCAGTCAGCAGGTAAAAATAGGAATAACTTGACATTTTGCCATAATCTTGTGTTTAATTTTGTATTTTATAATGAAAAAATCAATAAATTAAGCCAAATGAGCAGCGATTTTTTCTAAAAATATAAATCAAAATGTATTGGTAACGCTCAATTCTTAAAGTGTATAAAGCTATATATCTGATGCAAAAATTATTGTTTGAATTAAAAAAAAAAGGATACTCGCTTGTACATGCACAAAATTATTGCTAAACGGATAAAACCCTACTTAAAATAGCAAAATTATATATTTATTCCGGAACATTTTATTCTGTTTACGTAAATTATTCATGTGTATTAAATAACAGTCATATTCTATGTTAAAACTTTTTCGGGAATCAACCATAAATATAATGGGACCAATATCAGTTTACTGTTGATAAATTTTATTAAAATCTTTCATAAGATATAAATTTATACTTTTTAAAAAGAGTGGGACAGTCTTTTTATGATTCAGGCAGTTTTTATAATTATCATACACATTTTTCATTCATTCACCATTATAACAGCCAATCTTTTAAAAAAATAGTACCGATTCAAGTCAACATGACAGAATAAAATGAGCATATTGCCACGTTAAGATGAAAGAAAACAAACTAACTCAATAAATCACAGCATTCACTTGCTTACATGTTTTAAACAGAAATACCGTAACTGGTCTCTGTATGTTTACTCATATAAGAAATAAAACTGATATTTGCATGATTTGATATGATTGGTACAATTTTAAAAATGTAACATTACGTAAATAAATCGCATTTTGAAATTCAATACCCTCGATCGTATATATACATATACTTCAGTAGTGAAAAAAGACCGTTTAAACATTTTGAAGTTTTGAGATAACATGCTTAAATTTTATTTAAGTAAATAACCCAAACAAATGCATTTTACATACAACAATTGATTTGTATTACTTAGGTATGCACAGTAGGAAGAAAAGTCTCTATGTACGGAAGCACAGAGGAGACATGGTGGTTTTCGTGGCCACCACGAAATTGAACAATAACACGATAATTTATTCGTAGACACGAGATAATTCACAAATCAAGTCATTAGATTATCTCGTGACTACGAGTTGGTTAACGAAACACCATCATACAAATCAGTCTGCCATATTTTCTCGTAGCCACGAGTAAGGATTTTTTGTTTGTTTTTATTTCTATTTCTCTTATTTACATGCGTAAATCTTAACATTTCTTAGTTAATTTAGCCATTTCGTATATAACTCAATTAAGTGTGGATTAACAAGAAACTTAGAAAGCGCCTGCTGATTGATTTATATACTAAATTAAATGTAGTTTAAGAAATAAAGAGGTTAATTTACATTACTCTAAGAACACATGCATGCACTAAACAAAATCTGTTATGAATACGTGACTGATGGCCATTATGTACCTCATTTTAAACGCCAGCGTTGATTGATTGATTGATAGAATCTATTGTGTCAAAATGTCTGTGACGTAATACCACATTGATCATGATAAAGAATAGATATTTGTAAAATTCCCTGTACCTTACATTTTATTGTTTATATAATATATGATATAACCTTATTTGTGAAGAATTACCAATATCATAAGTTTTAAACAAATACATGTAACAGTCTAAATTTGTTGATAAAGGAAGGAAATAGAAATGTATTTTCTGAAAAAAGTCTTCGCCATATCCTTTACTTATAAATTATACATGTATGTATTTTTTAAAACTTATTTTTAATTTATGTAATAAATTGTTGTGTATATGTTACAAATTCTTGGATATTTTTAAAAATTGCGTTGGAAGAAAAAGTGATGTACGTGTATATAATTTCTGTTAAACTTTAAATTCGGTTGTGACTAAGGACCACGGCATTTATGATTAAGTCCACATTGAATTTACCTGAGCCCATTTTCAGCCACCACATCATTCCTTGGCAGGTTGTCAAGCAGTTCCTTACTTTCACTTTCGCAAGGAAACTTAAAAATTCTGTACATGCTAGAGCAGAGGAACAGTTTGAATGACAGAATAAAGGATTTCATGATCATTAACAACGAAAGTGACCTGCACGGTCCGGGAACCGAACCCGGGTCACCCGATTCACAGCCCAACATATTATACTTATTGAGCTATTCGGGCGGCATTTAACTGTAAGTTACATCCTTATTTACACTACATAGGATCTTTAAGTGTATTAAACCTGAAGTAAAGCAATAAACATCTATAATTTTTTTGTCAAGTTCACGATGGTACTTATTTTAGGACATGGACATGTTTGTCTGTTTGTTTTTTTTGTTTGACTGGGTTTTACGTCACACCGACACAGTATAGGTCATAATTATGGCGATGTTCCAGCTTGAATGGTAGAGGAAGACATCAAGTGCCCTTCCGTGCATTATTTGAGAAGAACCACCGACGTTTTCCGTAAGCTAAGAAGGTTAGCTTCCTCACGTGAAAGAATCCAAAGTCCCTGTCGGGATTCGAAACCCACAGCGGTGAAGGGTAAGTGGTTTGAAGTCAACGACCTTAACCACTCGCCTGATTAAACACAATATCAAATATTTGTGTATAAAGATACATTTTCTGAACTTTTTTTTTTAAAGCTGTAACACAATTAAGCATAAGAAAACCCTACCGGATGTTAATTGTAAGTCACGGCGCGATTCAAAATGTATAGAAGAGTGTTTTTTTCAAAACTACTGTGTTGAATACCTTGCCAAACTCACATCTCCACCTTGCGTTCATTTTATGACAACTTTATAGTACATTGAGTCAATTAGGAATAACACATCGAAACTAAATAATGATAATAAAAAATACTGTTTTGAAGTGCCAGATGTCAAGTCAGTTCATATCCAAGCTCATTAAAAACAGGAAACAAATCAACAGCTCGAAATTAAAAGGGACAAAAAAAAAAACCAAAACAACAACAAAACAAAACAACATTAGCAAACAAACCAAGGGAAAAAATCGAAGTAACGCTGAATGTTGTGCTGAATGGTGAGCCGGCTTCACGGTCCAGCTGCGGTCGGAAAAAAAGGAAAAAGAAACAAACAAAAAACCCGAATGTCAATCTAAATGTTGTGCTGAATGTCGAGCCAGGATTACTCCACATTTTAAAGAGATTAATGTATTTATGTTGATTAATATGTATAATTATATATTCACATTGTAAAGCTTGCCCAGTTTCTCCCTTTTCTGGGGG